TCCCCATTTGCTTGGTAAATCTTCCTCCATCCCTTTATTTTGAGCCTATGTATGTCTCTGCATGTGAGATGGGTCTCCTGAATACAGCAGACTGATGGGTCTTGACTCTTTATCCAGTTTGCCAGTCTGTGTCTTTTAATTGGAGCATTTAGTCCATTTACATTTAAGGTTAATATTGTTATGTGTGAACTTGATCCTGCCATTTTGATATTAACTGGTTATTTTGCTCGTTAGTTGATGCAGTTTCTTCCTAGCCTAAATGGTCTTTACATTTTGGCATGTTTTTGCAATGGCTGGTACTGGTTGTTCCTTTCCATGTTTAGTGCTTCCTTCAGGGTCTCTTGTAAGGCAGGCCTAGTGGTGACAAAATCTCTAAGCATTTGCTTATCTGTAAAGGATTTTATTTCTCCTTCACTTATGAAACTTAGTTTGGCTGGATATGAAATTCTGGGTTGAAAATTCTTTTCTTTAAGAATGTTGAATATTGGCCCCCACTCTCTTCTGGCTTGGAGAGTTTCTGCCGAGAGATCTGCTGTTAGTCTGATGGGCTTCCCTTTGTGGGTAACCCGACCTTTCTCTCTGGCTGCCCTAAAGATTTTTTCTTCATTTCAACTTTGGTGAATCTGGCAATTATGTGTCTTGGAGTTGCTCTTCTCGAGGAGTATCTTTGTGGCTTTCTCTGTATTTCCTGGATTTGAATGTTGGCCTGCCCTACTAGGTTATGGAAGTTCTCCTGGATGATATCCTGAAGAGTGTTTTCCAAGTTGGTTCCATTTTCCCCCTCACTTTCAGGCACCCCAATCAGACGTAGATTTGGTCTTTTTACATAATCCCATACTTCTTGCAGGTTTTGTTCATTTCTTTTTCTTCTTTTTTCTTTTGGTTTCTCTTCTCGTTTCATTTCGTTCATTTGATCCTCAATCGCTGATACTCTTTCTTCCAGTTAATTGAGTTGGTTACTGAAGCTTGTGCATTTGTCACGTATTTCTCGTGTCATGGTTTTCATCTCTTTCATTTCGTTTATGACCTTCTCTGCATTAATTACTCTAGACACCAATTCTTCCACTTTTTTTTCAAGATTTTTAGTTTCTTTGCGCTGGGTACGTAATTCCTCCTTTAGCTCTGAGAAGTTTGATGGACTGATGGATGAGAGAAGCCTTCTTCTCTCATCTTGTCAAAGTCATTCTCCGTCCAGCTTTGATCCGTTGCTGGCGATGAGCTGCGCTTCTTTGCCGGGGGAGATGCGCTCTTATTTTTTGAATTTCCAGCTTTTCTCCCCTGCTTTTTCCCCATCTTTGTGGTTTTATCTGCCTCTGGTCTTTGATGATGATGGTGACGTACTGATGGGGTTTTGGTGTAGGTGTCCTTCCTGTTTGATAGTTTTCCTTTTAACTGTCAGGACCCTCAGCTGTAGGTCTGTTGGAGATTACTTGAGGTCCACTCCAAACCCTGTTTGCCTGGGTGTCAGCAGCAGAGGCTGCAGAAGATAGAATATTGCTGAACAGCGAGTGTACCTGTCTGATTCTTGCTTTGGAGGCTTCCTCTCAGGGGTGTACTCCACCCTGTTAGGTGTGGGGTGTCAGACTGCCCCTAGTGGGGGATGTCTCCCAGTTAGGCTACTCAGGGGTCAGGGACCCACTTGAACAGGCAGTCTGTCCCTTCTCAGATCTCAACCTCCGTGTTGGGAGATCCACTGCTCTCTTCAAAACTGTCAGAGTCGTTTGCATCTGCAGAGGTTTCTGCTGCTTTTGTTGTTTACTGTGCCCTGTCCCCAGAGGTGGAGTCTACAGAGACAGGCAGGTTTCCTTGAGCTGCTGTGAGCTCCACCCAGTTCGAGCTTCCCAGAGGCTTTGTTTACCTACTTAAGCCTCAGCAATGGCGGGCGCCCCTCCCCCAGCCTCGCTGCTGCCTTGCTGCGAGATCACAGACTGCTGTGCTAGCAATGAGGGAGGCTCCGTGGGGTGGGACCCTCCTGGCCAGGTGTGGCACAATCTCCTGGTGTGCCTGTTTGCTTAAAGCACAGTATTGAGGTGGGAGTTACCCGATTTTCCAGGTGTTGTGTGTCTCAGTTCCCCTGGCTAGGAAAAAGGATTCCCTTTCCCCTTGTGCTTCCCAGGTGAGGCGATGCCTCGCCCTGCTTCAGCTCTAGCTGGTCGGGCTGCAGCAGCTGACCAGCACCGATTGTCCGGCACTCCTTAGTGAGATGAACCCAGTACCTCAGTTGAAAATGCAGAAATCACAGGTCTTCTGTGTCGCTCGCGCTGGGAGTTGGAGACTGGAGCTGTTCCTATTTGGCCATCTTGCTCCGCCCCCCAGGAATTCAAATATTTTTTCTTATGTCCCATTCTTCACCTCATGATGAATACACCGCTTGCCTTCATAACTATATAAAACTGGTGCTAGTCTCTCCTGGCACTTAATAACACCAGCTTAACTCTTTACACTTTACCAACTAAGTCAAGAGTAGCACATCTGGCCATTATAAATGTCAAGGAATGTAAATAATAACTTTCTGTATCTCTAAAACTAATTAGTAATCCTCCTTCTCCCTGGTCAGATATATCCTTAAAACTCCAATCATTTGACATGAGATGAAATATCAAAACCCAAACAGAAATACATAAGATTACTAAGGAAAACAGCAAACACCACGTGAAAAGGTGCTCATCATTAATCATTTTAGAAACACAAATTAAACCCACTATGAGACAGGACTCCTCATTCACTAAAGGCTAAAATTAAAACGACAGCTAAAAATACCAAGTACTGGCAAGGACGTGGAATAAATACTGTGAACCTCCCAACATATATTGCTGTTGGGAATGTAAAATTTCAGCAAATGCTGAAAAGTTTAGCAGTTTCTTATACAAACATACTTACTATAATACAACAACCTTAATCTTGGGTATTTACCCAACAGAAATGAAAATATGTAACCACACACAGACTTATATACTTATGTTCATAGCAGCTTTATTCATAACAGCAAAAAAAACCTGAAAATAACTCAAATGTCCATCAACTGGTAAATGAATTAACAAACTAGTATGACTATACAATGCAAATACTACTGAATGATAGAAGATAAAACAGGAACTAACTACTAATACATATAACAGTGTCAGTATCTCAAAAGTATTATGTTCAGTGAAAGAAGCTGGACACAAAAGACTGTATCTGATTCTGATTATTTGAAATTCTAGAAAAGGCAAAACGAAAGTGACAAACAGCAGATCAATGGGTTGCCAGGGGGTAGAAGTGGGGGCAAGGGATTGACCACAAAAAATAAAAGGGAAACTTTTAGGTGACAGAAATGTTCTATATCAGCCAGGCACAGTGGTTCATGCCTGTATTCCTAGCACTTTGGGAGGCCGAGGCAGGCGGATCATGAGGTCAGGAGTTCTAACCCAGCCTGGTCAACATGGTGAAATCCCATCTCTACTAAAAATACAATAGTTAGCCGGGTGTGGTGGCACGTGCCTGTAATCCCAGCTACTCAGGAGGCTGAGGCCGGAGAATTGCTTGAACCCAGGCAGGCGAAGGTTGCAGTGAGCTGGGATCGTGCCATTGCATTCCAGCCTGGGTGACAGAGAGAAACTCCGTCTCGGGGGGGAAAAAAGAAATGTTCTATATCAAGACTGTGGTGGTGGTAATTACATGACTACGTATTTGACAAAATTCACTGAATTATATACTTAAATTGGTTAATTTTATTATATATCATACCTTAAAATTTATTATATATAAAATAATACCTAAAGTTTATATGTATCAAAATGGAACAATGGTAACATGATTTACTTTGCTACATTTCCAAATTTTTCCAGTGAGGATGTATTATTTTAAAATAAGAACAAAAATCCCATTTAAGAACAATTAGCATATTATAAATATATGAGTATACATGATCGCAACGACTTATAAATAAATAAAAACTCAGAGCTAAGAATAGAAGGAAATTTACCACTATTTACTTTGGGTAAAGGAGTACTAAAATTCCTCCTAAAGCTTTTGTATAATTCATAACTTTTAGGGGACAACTTTGTTTTAAAAATGCAGTAATAGAGAATGCCCTGCAATAATTGGTATAAGTTTATCCAGAGCTTTTGCCCAAATTAATTAATTGGGAAGGCATCACATGTGCTCACTTTTCAAAGATGCTTTTGAAAGATTATTCAGTAGTTTAATTTCTTTTTGTTTTTTCTGGTAAGTCTCTGTTTCAGGTATTTTTTTTTTCAAGAGTTATTCTCTGCATTACTCAAAATGATGAATCAAACAGACTTTGCTTCTTAATTTAATGTCTTATTCTTTAAAAACCCCTAAAGAACAAACAGTTCTTAGACCTGGAATGTATTTTCTACTCAGTAATGCCCTATTTTGTAAAGAAAAGAAACAGAACATAAGTAGCACCTTGGATCAAATCGTCCATTCTGATCAGCTGTACAGAAGACATAAATTGGAGGTAACAATAACTGCTTTAATCTCTGTGAATATCTCATCAATTAAATAATTCCTCAGGAACATTTTTCCCATTCATATGGGAATTAAATATTGGTTTGCAAACACAGAACCAACTAACAATCTTTTTTACAGAATCTCTAAATCCTTTCTTCCAAGACCATTCTGGCCAACTGACTGGATTTAAACTGGATAATAAAAGCAAGGAAAAAAAAAAAAAGCACAGACATAAACTCTTACAGAGCAAGAAAGACCAGATGGTCACCTCGACTTTAGAGGCAAAACCAGTATGCTCTAATATTGTGACACGACTCTAATGCCAGAATACAATGACAGACGGATCACTTTTAGAAGAACAGCCAAGATAATGGACTCAAGACATAACAGGTAACACACATTCCCAGGATTGCGAGCAGTACCTGAACAAGAGCTGTTAATGGATCATTGTAGCATTATCAATACATCCCAGTCATTGTATGATACCTTACTCTCTTGGTTTCCTTGTATTTGTTGGAAGGCACATTAAAATTTCCATTTTTTTAAGAGTGCAGAAAGGTACTTTTCCTGTTTCTCTCTGCAGCATGTCCAGCACTTTTACACCTTCTGTCAGACAAATACGTTGAAATTCTTATATTGCAAAATCAATAATAATACTCAGTGATGGATAGTGTATGTTTCCGATTAACATCCTTTTTGCCAAGTTAAAAATACCCTACTAGGGACCAGGTGGAGTGGCTGATACCTGTAATGCCAGCACTTTTGGAAGCCAAGGTGGGCAAATTACTTGAGCACAGGAGTTTGAGACCAGCCTGGGCAACATGGTGAAACAGTGTCTCTACCAAAAAATACATAAATTAGCTAGGTGTGGTGGTGTAAGCCTGTAGTCCCAGCTACTTGGGAGGCTGAGGCAGGAGGATCACTTGAACCCAGGAAGTCGAGGCTGCAGTGAACTGAGATCATACCACTGCACTCCAGCCTGGGTGACAGGGCAAGACACTGTCTCCAAAAAACAAACAAAAAACTAACAATATCCTATGAAAAGTGGCTTAAACAATTGAAGGGTTTTTATCATATCAAAATAAGTTCACATGTAGAACAGTTCTAGAATGGATTAATTCTGTAGCTTACCAGCATTATCAAAGGCTCTGCTGAGTTCTATCTTTCCACTAAGCCAGCCTCAGTCTATGAGTCTGTGTCCCCTTGTGATCATTAGTTGGCTGCAGCAGTTCCAACTATCAGAGTCAGACAAGACAACATCCAGAGAGAGCAGGATTTCCTCCTCTATTAGTGAGTAAAACATTTTTCAGACACCCTCTTGAAGATCACTTCTCAGCTGCCATTCACTGGGACATGTTTATGTACTCACACCTTATCAATTATTTCTAAGGGGGATAAGACCACATGTGATTCATTTAGAACAGCAAGATTCACTCTTGGGGAAAGGGTCCAACATACCTGGGCACAAAGCTGCACAGAGGGGAACCCAAATAAGCAAAAAGAAGGGAGGGACAAAATAGTTGCTGGCCAGCAACCAACAGTATTTATCACTATCTGATAGGGCTGAAAATGTACAGCATGTGTTGTTACACTATTCCTTGGCTAAGAAGGTAAGTAGCAATAAAATAAAAAGTGTAATAAAATAGATCGTTAGACATTTACGAAAATACTTCAGGGACAACTAACAACTAAGATTCAGAGAGTACAGGCACTAGGCTATGTGCCAGGCACTAGCCTATGTGCTGTACATGTATTAATGTATTTCATCCTCACAACTGTTACCTTTACAGTCATCCCTCAGTATCTGTGGGGGACTGGTTTCCAACCTCAACCCCTCAAATACCAAAATCCATGGATGCTCAAGTCTTTTATATAAAATGGCATACTATGTATTTGCATGTTACCTAGGCACAACCTCCCATATACTTTAAGTCATCACTAGATTATTTACAATACCTAATACAATGTAAATACTATATAAATAGCTATTAAACTGTATTGTTTAGGGAATGACAAGGAAAAAAAGTCTGCACATGTTCAGTACAGACACAACCATCCTTTTCTTTTTTCAAATATCTTCTATCCACAGTTGTTTGAATCCACAGATGTGGAACACATGGATATGGAGGGCCAACTGTATCTTACAGACAAGGTAAAAGAGAGAGAAGCCAAGACTAAGTGACAGAGCTGAGACTGGAACCAAGGTAATCAGGCTTCAGACCATGCTCTCAATTGCTATATTATGCTGCTACAGGGTGATGTAAAAAAGGCACATGTTTTAAAAATAGTAAACACAGCAAATGAACCAAGCCATAGGTGGAAATGTAGAAACCAATCCAAGAAGTTGGCTGAGATTTAACATTGTACATTTTATTAAATACTGGACTTTATTACAACAAATTAATTTACTTCCGATAGAAGTTTCATTTTCAAAAATGTGGTTGTGTTCAAATTCTTAATTGACACTGTTTTTTTGGGTAAACATCCTATTTTTACTGGTGGTATCATCAATCATTGTAAGAAAGATTAATTTTGTATAACAGGACAAAGGAATTTCTCAAGTGGACAATACTCAATATAAATAAAGGGAATATACTCCCAAAGAGTGGGCATGACCACAGCAGAGTATATGATCAGAGAACATATTGTTTTTACGGGGGGGTGTGTGTGTGTGTGTGTGTGTGTGTATATGTATGTGTGAAATAGTTCCATATAACATCATGTCATGCACATTAAGTCTTTACTACCTACTGAAAGTTTCTACCTTACACATGAAAATTGGTCACGTCCCAGGATTTGGCATCCAGCCAAAATTTAAACAATGATGAAGAATGGCTGTCAAACAGACTTTTCAGACCACCCCTGCAAAGCTGTCAGCTGTAATATCCATCCTGGAATCGTGGCGGAAAGTTCCTGGGAGTTGCCTTTTCCTGTGTTTTGATCAAGTCTATAATAGCTGACAGCACTGCACAGTCTCTGGATTTAGTGTCATTCCAGTCTACAGGATGAGGACTTTCAATCTTCTCTTGCAGAAGAATATCTAGCTCCTTTCTTAATTCCTAAGGTTGAAAAAATTATACATATTCAACAAAGGCAGATATATTGCCAAATAACATAATAAATGAAACTGATTTACCTGATACAAGGAGTTACAAAAGCGATGGCTCAAAAGCTAAAATATTTAGTGAGCAATCAACTAAAGTGTGGTTATGAGCGAATAACTAAAGTTAAAATTCACATGCAATCACATTGAGCCATTTAGAATGGCTGGTCTGCTACCATCTCAAAAAACAATTCAGAAAAACCAGGAACCATTTTTTCAAAATTACTTGCTCTGCTGAAATACAGCAAGAAATGTTAATATATGTAACATTTTGAACAAAACCACTTGACCACATGCTGACTTACATGTAGATTAAAGATAATCACATAAAGTCAGATACCTTAACAAGATGGGCAATTCTTGCTGGAGACTGAAATACAATCCACTCATCTACAGCAATAGTTTCCTGATCGTTATCCTTCTGGATGGAAATATCACCTCCAAAAAACAAGAGACAGTATGGGGAAACCTCTGTGCAGTCATACAAATATATCTGTAATGAAAATTAAAGTGAATTAATACATTCAGGAGTCTGAAAAGATTACTACATAAATTCAACAATATTACCAGTATTAATTAATGAGTACCTTCCTTCTAAAATATTAACCTGCTATTGTAATTACAGAGATTAATTTGTAAGATACCATTTTAAATGAGCCATCTTCATTATTCAGAGAACACAGGAATATTTTTTAGTTTAAACTAAGCACTACTGTTTGAACAAAATATTTTCTGAGTGACGAAACCAAAACACGAATATAGCTGAAGTTATTTTTATCCAGTTTTTTAATAAATCATCTCAAATTACTGTTCTAAAGAGAAAATATAAACAGAATCTCATTTAATATGCTGAATGATACTTATAAGATATATTGACATGCTAACAAAATTCTCTATACAATGTAAGCTCCTGTATACCATAAAATATGCCAATATTTCTTGAAAGCAAGTTCTGAAAGAAAATTATGCAATCCAGTAACTGTCCTAACTAAACTACAAAGATCTATCATTACAGACCTGAAAATTAAAAGAATAGGTTGTTTGAGGGACAAAGTTACTCATGTCACAGGAATAAGAAACAACAAAAAAGTTTGTATATAATTATTAAAACTGTCATAAAAATATAATGAGACAGATAATCAGATCCTTAATTATTGTAAGTGTTCACTTACACTGCTTGTTCTCATCTTCAGGTGATAGATAAGCCAGTTGTAGTGAAAGTCTGTTTGCTCCACATTAACAGATTTAGGATGAATAGCAACCAGGCCATCAGTTTTTGTGTAAACTTTCACCCTTTAAAAAAAGTTAAAATGCAGTTTGTTAAAAAGAAGTCTTCTAGAGGATTTATATTTGTTTGCTTTAACACTACTTGAAAAACTGATAGAAGAGCTTGGTAAAAACCAAACAAATTCCGGAATCTAAAAAAACTCCAGAGAATGGCCGGGTGCGGTAGCTCACGCCTGTAATCCCAGCACTTTGGGAGGCCGAGGCAGGTGGATCACGAGGTCAAGGTGATCAAGACCATCCTGGCTAACATGGTAAAACCCCGTCTCTACTAAAAATACAAAAAAATTAGCCAGGCATGGTGACGGGAACCTGTAGTTGCAGCTTCTCCAGAGACTGAAGCAGGAGAAAGACCTGAACCCAGGAGGCGGAGCTTGCAGTGAGCTGAGATCGCACCATTGCAATCCAGCCTGGGTGACAGAGCGAGACTCCGCCTCAAAAAAAAAAAAAACACTCCAGAAAATAATTCAGTTTATTTTTGCAAAAAATATATTTGAGGACAGAGCACAATTTCCTTAAAAATATATGAAAAAATGCTATCAGTATGAATAATTTAAATCATGTAACTAATCTTCTTGCAGGTATAATTACTCAATATTTTAGAAAAATGACAGAATATTCTTTTCCTTAATGTTAATGCACACTATCCCACTGAAGAATAAAGAACAAAATAAATATCTAAAATAATTAAGTGATTCGTATCAAGAGAAGAGTCTATACATTTTACTATGACAATCGTATTGATAAATAGCCCTTGACTTACAAAATAACTGTAAAATTAACTTAAAAATTTTAGAGTATGACCCAGATGAACAAAAAATGAAAAGTTAAGAATTCTATTTAAATTCCTGTTGACAATTCTAATTCAATCTTTTTTTTTGATAGTCATATACACAGTCATATACATTTGATAGTCATATACTTTTTTTATAGTCATATACATTTTATCTCAATTTGTAAACATCTTTAATGTTATTCAACAGGGAGATGTTTAATAATTTTTAAATAGTTAATGTTAATTACCTGTATTAAATTAACAGCATAAAAGCTAATAATCCACTAATCTTTCCTATTTGTTTTTACGAGTGTCTCTTCTGAAGTTTTTTTTTTTTTTGAGACGGAGCCTTGCTCTGTCACCCAGACTGGAGTGGAGGGGCCCAATCTCAGCTCACTGCAGCCTCCGCCTCCTGGGTTTCGGTGATTCTCCTGCCTCAGCCTCCCCGGTAGCGGGGATTACAGGCATGTACCACCATGCCCAGCTAGTTTTTGCATTCTTAGTAGAGATGGGGTTTCACCACGTTGGCCAGGCCGGTCTCAAACTCCTGACCTCAGGTGGTCCACCCACCTCGGCCTCCCAAAGTGCTAGGATTACAGGTATGAGCCACCGCACCCAGCCACTTCTGAAGTTCTAAGAATTCATAATACTTGTAGTCAAAATCATGAATCATAGTCATGAATTCATAGCTCTAAATACTGAGAATAAAACCAAAAAGTATTTTTTCTCACTTAAGTCAATTTACCAATGCCACCCTGCAACCCTGCATAACTAGAGCAGTAGAAGTTGGAAAATTTCTTTTTTTTTTTTTTTTGAGACGGAGTCTTGCTCTGCCGCCCAGGCTGGGGTGCAGTGGCCGGATCTCAGCTCACTGCAAGCTCCGCCTCCCAGGTTTACGCCATTCTCCTGCCTCAGCCTCCCGAGTAGCTGGGACTACAGGCGCCCACCACCTCGCCCGGCTAGTTTTTTGTATTTTTTAGTAGAGACGGGGTTTCACTGTGTTAGCCAGGATGGTCTCGATCTCCTGACCTCGTGATCCACCCGTCTCGGCCTCCCAAAGTGCTGGGATTACAGGCTTGAGCCACCGCGCCCGGCCTCTTTTTTTTTTTTTTTTTTGAGACAGGGTCTTGTTCTGTCACCCAGGCTGGACTGCAGTAGCATGATCTCCTTTCACTGTGCAATGGTGTAATCTTGACTCACTGCAACCTCCACCTCCTGGGCTCAAGCAATCTGCCTGCCTCAGCCAACCAAAGTGCTAGGATTATAGGTGTGAGCCACTGTGCCTACAGCAAATTTCTATACAGGACCAGATAGTAAATATTTTAGGATCTATATTTGGGGGTCTATAACTTCTGTCACAACCACTTAACTCTGCTAGTGTAGAATAGATAACATGAAAACAAATGGGCCTGACTGTGTTCCAACAAAAAATGTACAAAACCAAATTTTTGGCTTATAGGTCAAAATTTGCTGACCCCTAGTCTGGACAAAACTAATGCACCAGTCCAAGGGAAAAACTATGTTTGTCCATAAAGCCCTCCCAGGATGGCAGAGAGGAAAATAAAATGAATTTCAAAGTAACTCTCTGTTAAGCTACCTGTAAAGTTAGGTACACATTAAAAAAAAAAAAAAAAAAAAAAATTGTCCAAGTATTGATTTTGAAAAAGTACTTAGATCACGTAAAATGTAAATAATCCAACCATAATGATTAAAATTCATCAGTTACCCATTCCTTCATACCTTGGAATAAGGTTTCTTGACTTTAGTACTACTGACACAATGTTACAACAACCAGAAGTATCTCTAGACACTGTCCAATGTTCCCTTTGGGGGCAAAATCACCCCGGTTGAGAACCATTGCCCAAGAACAATGCCTGCACTTTGGCCTATCTATAAAGTCTATATTTTTTCATGTTTGTAATTCTAGAATATCCAACTTTCATTTAACATCAGTTTAAATATTTTACATGTTACTACACAATGACTGTTTTAATGCCCACCTATGGAGATGCATTATATAGTATTATAAAACCACAATTTTCCATTTGCTACTAGAAATCTGTATTATTTACAATATAGCCATTAGAAAACATTTGAAATTACTTCCTTAAGACATGTCTATCAAATTAAAAACTCACTCATCCATGCACTGGGTCAGTGACTATTTTAATGACTCAATACATAATTCTAACCCAGAGTACCTTCCAAAATAGTAGCAACCACACCACTGGCCATCTGTGACTCTTAGTTTCTCTGTATCCTTTAGCTAGAATGAGCTCATTCTAGCTCATGCTTCACTGCTATCTCCAATTACTACTGAGGCTATCTACACATATGTTATTATACTTTATTTCTCAAAATAGTGATATAACAATTTTATTCAAAGAGCTAAGTTATCCATTTTATAAGACAAGAGGAAAAAAGTTTTCTGAAATAAAATCTACTCTAAGCAATTTCAATCCAGGCACTGGTATTTACTGGCAGGCTGGCTTTTCTAATATTTACACTGGCATCACGTGGTAGCATTCTTTGTGAATAATGGGTTATCAGAGAGGTGATTCCAGGATATGTTGTGAGGGAAAGTGATACCAATGCTAAACATTTCACCTTCTCTGAAATGATTAAAAGAACAAGAACATAACCCACATATGAGTAAGAACAAATTTATAATATAAGCCTTGTTACATGAGATTTCAAAAGTTTAAGAAGAGAATTACAAGTAATTCATAATAATCTTCAATGCTTACATTTTTCTTTTTTTACCCAAATTTAGTCGAATTTTAGCAACTTTGGGATATAAACCAGCACAGATGACAGCTTTAATTATCTTCTCATTATCTATGGGGGGGGGGGGGTGAGAAGGTAGAGGGAAAAACAAGTAAAATACTGATACAATAGAAAAAAGATACTTATTTACACTGTGTTTTCTGCTGTACCTGAATTTATATTAGATTCTGGATCTTTAGGATTTCTACTGCTTACAAATCCGGCTCCAAGAAGATGCTCAGCAAACTGTCCTTTCATGTTATGCAGCATCTAGGGAGCAATGGTAACAAATAGAACTAGAATACCTTTCACACATTGAGACTATAAAATATACACTAATAGATAAATTGAGTTGTAAGCTCTCTCTGCTTTATGAAAACTTTTGCAAACATGTTTTAAAGCAAAGGCTGGCAAACTACAAAAGCTGTTTTTGTCAATAAAATTTTATTGGAACACAGCCACACCCATTCATCTACATTTGGTTGCTTTTGCACTACAATAGTAGAGGTCAATGCTTATAACTGAGCTTATGACCTGTAAACCTAAAATATTACCTGACTTTTCATTGAAAAAGTTTGCATGTTGTAAGGAACAGCCACCGATGTTTAAGGATTACTCCATTTTGTGAAAGACTAATAGAATTTTTATTTTTATTTTTTTTTATTTTTTTTTTGAGACGGAGTCTGGCTCTGCCGCCCAGGCTGGAGTGCAGTGGCCGGATCTCAGCTCACTGCAAGCTCCGCCTCCCGGGTTCACGCCATTCTCCTGCCTCAGCCTCCCAAGTAGCTGGGACTACAGGCGCCCGCCACGTCGCCCGGCTAATTTTTTGTATTTTTTTAGTAGAGACGGGGTTTCACCGTGTCAGCCAGGATGGTCTCGATCTCCTGACCTCGTGATCCACCCGTCTTGGCCTCCCAAAGTGCTGGGATTACAGGCTTGAGCCACCGCGCCCGGCCTTAGAATTTTTAAAATTACTTTCCATCCCCACTTTAAAAACAATATAGAATAGCATAAAGAAAATAATCAACATCCACATTTCTATGACTGAGAATTAAATATGGTTAACAATGGCACGTAAACTTAAGGTTTTTTTTTTTTTTTTTTTTTTTTTGAAAAAAACAATACATGGCTTATTATAAAGCATTCAAGTAATTATAAAGCATTCAAGTAATATAGAAAAGTACTTCCCATGCCTCAATACTCAGTCTTTCTAAATAAACAAGATTGCAGACACCTATTAAGCATATATATTGATAGAAGAAATGTATCCTAATGACAGAATCATAGTATAGAAATTCTTTATACAACAATTAACTTTAGTTCAATTTAAAGAAAAGTTAAATAGAAATGAAAGTGAATGACCAGTGAATCTTAAATTTTCATAAGCACAGAAATATTTCCTAAGGAATTCCTTTTAGAGATTATGAAATATAAAGTTGGTTATATTTAAGTATATATCCCTTTTATGAAAGGTGTGACTTCCCCACCTAATTTCCTTACACCTGACTTTCTTAGACACCTCCTGGTTTTTACTGCCATTATTTTATACTATTCAGGATAATAACCTTTACATTCTATTTTTCATGTATAATTCCTAACACCATTTTATTATTAGCTCTATATTTAAATACTTCTAATGTATACTACCAGCTGATAAAGCATGCACTCTCCAATCCTGAAATCTCCACTGTGATTCCCCTTTTAACTGACAGCACTTCACTGTCAATGGGCTTTTCAAGAAGAGATCAGGGTTATAGTATTTCTTGAGTATTTTCTTGAATACCTGTTGTTTTTTTTACACCTGAATTCATATCCTGACGACATGACATTCTCAAACACTTGGATTCAGTTATGTTTTCATACTTCTGTTCATTTTTTCCATTTCAAAAAAAATGTTCTTATATGTGGCTCAAAATAAATATTCAATTACACAGGATTTCTATGCAGATACTAATATCTACTGTTCTCATGATGGATCAGTTCTGTCTTCCTGTCTTTAAGATTTTACTTATTGCTTTAATTTTTGTCTTTTTCAGGTACCTCCATAAACTGTGATTAGTTCAAGCTTTTTTCCTATGGCAATAACTTGTTTTTAAGGGGTGTCCATTCTATTCCTTGTGATTTCTTTTGTTCTTCAATTTGTTTTCTCAGCTCAAGAGTCTTTTCATTCACTCTATTGTTTATTTTCTAACCTTTGTTTTGCTGGATTCATATTCTTATTAGCTATTCCATATCATGAAACAGCTGTAAGGTGTTTTCTATTGAAACATGGCATTCCATTCTTTTTTTTTGTCTTTTCTTTTCCTTTCTTTTCGATTTGTGGTGAACCTTTTTTTCCATTTTGCTAATGACTGGGCACTTCTGATTCGGTACGTTAGATTTTTTTGTTTACTACTTTGTACATCTGTTAAACGTCCAGTATAAGGCCTCACGTCACATAGCTGGGGTGTATGTGTACTGAGAGATGAGGATATTTCTATTCCCACTGGCTTCGAATCCCCAGTTCAGTGTAGTCTGAAATATAATGGTATATGCACTCTTTACTGTTTTCTTCTGTTTTACAAATGCTTGTCTGCGGTGTTTCACTGTATTAAACCAGAAAACATACAGGTATCTATCCTATTTGATACTTTTCAACAGATTTTATAAGTGTTAGCAAAAATTCTCAGTCTGAATCATCAAAACGGCAACTAGAATGTGGGGACAGGAACAGAAATTGAACCTTACTGTGCTTTGCTCTTATCCTCTGGAACTGTGTTTCTTTTCCTTGTTTTGTTGCAGTTGATTTAAGAAAGATCCCCCATTATTTTGGGTATATATACAAATATACTCAATTTCCATATATTTGACGTTTTTGCTATAGATCTAATTGTACAAAATGGATACACATATTCTGTAATCTAGCATACACGATAATTATTCCAAAACATTCACCATTACCTGCAGTGTGTTTGAAGACAGAAAATATTCCCAGCAATAGTCCTTTTCGTATCTGAAACCACGTCGTCTAGCCTCTTCCCAGCCCTGTGGGGCAAAGAAATGAAGAAATATATATTCTTCCTGCAAACGAAGATTACTACTCATTTCCCTCTTTATTTTAGTAAAACTTTAATATTCTACTAATATTTAATTTTCTTTGTAAAAAATTCGAAGAACTTTATAACTGACAAACTAAAAACACATACGCTCCCCATGATCCTAGTCCTTGAGATAACCAACACTGAAGTTCCAGACCTTTATACAATTAAGTATACAGTAATATATTATGTATTTTACACAAAATGACATCCAAACTGTACATAATACACTAATCAAACAGAGCACACTATTAAACCGACCTAAATGCTATTACATATTTTCAAATTCACAACTTTTCTTTATGGCTTGCTTTTTTTTAGAGGAGGGAAATGGGGGAAAAAGGAAAGACAAGTTGAATAAGCTCAAAGACAAAAAAACATGAATTTCCCCATAATATGCCATACGAAACAGAATGTAGAGCTACAGAAAAAAGATACTGCCTCTAAAAACCAAATTACATTTAAATTTTACCAAGATAGGTGATAAATGTTTACCCTCAGATACACCTGGCTTTTGGGAGGTGTCTCCCAATCTGAATTATGCACAAGATTATGATTCTCTATTACATGTTAAATCTGAATACAGGGTAGTTTATTAATGAATAGAAAGAGATTGTCATGAATGTTAATAAGCCAAAGATACAAAGAAATTATTAAATACAAAATTTTAAAATAAACGATTCACTTGTTCATTCTTACCAAAAACTACTATGAATTATAACTTTTTTCAAATGTTCAGCTAAATTTCAACATTCTCAGCAATTTATTCCTGATATTTATGATTATATAATATAGATTTTGGTTTTTTGTTTTCATTGAGATGGAGTGTCACTCTGTCGCCCAGGTTGAAGTACAGTGGCACGATTTCGGCCTACTGCAACCTCTGCGCCCCCGGGTTCAAGCAATTCTCCTGCCTCAACCTCCTGAGTAGCTGGGATTACAGGTGCCCGCCACCACACCCAGCTAATTTTTGTATTTGTAGTAGAGACAGGGTTTTGCCATGTTGGCCAGCCTGGTTTCAAACTCCTGACCTCAGGTGATCCGCCTGCCTCAGCCTTCCAAAGTGCTATAAATACAAGCATGAGCTACCATGCCCGGCCTTATGATAACACAGATTTCAAAAGGTTAAATATGATCCTTATTCTATTATCAGCATTTCATTTGAATAAACTGTCATAATCCAGAACAAGATTTTTTTTTTTTTACCTCAAATGCATTCACAACTGTTAAGTGATCACTTCTAGTATCCTTTGCCAATTCCTTTCTTCTTGCATCTGCAATCTTTTCTTTTCCCTTAAAAGAGCAGATATAGGCAATTTAAATTGCTCTGATGCTATAACAGAGAACAGCATTCTAATAAAATGCTAATGAAAAATACATCTAAGCAACTCCTGTTCATATCTAAAATAAATTGATTTTGTTTCAATTTTTCTTACCAATGGAATGACAAATGGATCTTTGAAACTGAGACTAGCAGCAATAGTGAGTACTGGGTCTAAGCAGCAGAAGAGAGCTCCAAAAAGAATCATTTTTCCAATATGTGGCTCAACGGGTAATCGTGCCAAGTGGACTCCAAGAGGTGTCAATTCTTCTTGTTTATCCAAAGCGTTCTGTAAAGGAAGAGTGTGTGTTTAAAATCAATCCTGTAAAGCATTACATTTAAAATGACTTTAGGTTGCTTTAAAAAGAGTAACAAGCCACTACTCTCTCTTCTAGTCCAAATGCCCGAAAATTGTTCAGCTTTAGTTTTCCCTACCAAAACATAAGTTTCGTGAGGTCAGCAAAGGTTACAAACTTATTTAAACGGAACCAAAATTAACGCACATCTTGGCTTTTCTGTGTTAAGAAGAAATACCAGAAATGACAAACTTTCTGTTAAATAAAGAAAATCACCTAATAAAGTATAAAAGTTGTAGAAACAAATAACAAAAACAAAAGATACACTATCATACATTTGGAATGCATAATGCATACTCTCTAGGTTCTAGTAGTTTAGGTGACATGAGACAGAAAAGCAAAAGGAACTATCTAAAACCTTAGAAAATAGGAGTGACTTCTGCTCTGATTCCCTAGGTCATCTGGTCCAACCACCCCACTGTGGACAGCTAGAAAAGTAGCCTGAAGATACCAAGGAGTTAACAAAGAATTACAAGTCAAGAGGTTAGGGAATGACAGACATCTAAGGGAGGTGAGTGTAGAGGTTGGGGCCTCTTTTCCTGGCAGAAAAGGAACATATCCTTGCTGAAAAAAAGCTACCCTCATCCCAAGCTTCAAATTTTTACCTATTAAGAATTTTGTAAACAGAATTTCCAGTGCACAATTAAAATAACTAGGCATACAGATGTAAACAAGAAATAATAATAGAAGAACTCATAAGCATCCCATCAGACACAGATTTTTACTCAACAGTTTTGGAGAAAATACCCTTAATTTTTTTTTTTAAGACCTCTTTCAAATGAAAGGAAAAAAAAAAAAAGAAAAACCCTCAACCTGTTTTCTGAACCTAGAATAGCTTGATATCTAAATTTTACAAGGACATCTGAAGAAAAGTGAATAAACTCACATACAAAAATCACAAAACAAAATAATGGCAAATGGAATGCTGGCAAGTTAGGTTTACTCTAAGAATAAAAATTTGTTTAATATTTGAAATATCAGTGTATCTGAATACATGAACCAACTAAAGAAGTCATACCATAATCTCATCAGAAGCAGAAGATACTTGATAAAACTGATTATTCATACAGGATAAAAATGTCTTAGTAAACTTAACGTAGTAAGAGCTTCCACACACCAAACAAAACAAAACAAAACAAAAAAATCAACAAACATTATACTCTCAATGACTTGCTGATGGCTGTTCCTTTACACTACCACATCACTTCTGCTCAACACTGTATTAAGGGTCTCAGAAACTTGAACAAGAATAAACAAAATTGTAATTATGTAGAGATGTGATTATATATGCAGAAAAAATCTACGTAAAGTGATTTGAATTAGGGGACTTTACAGCATTAATGAATACAAAGTCAATCATTCAAGCAACTTTATTTCTGTAAACTATCACACTCAAAAGATGATGAAATACCACTTATCTTCTAGGTTAGTGGTATTTTGGATTCTGCTTTTAAATATTTAAAATCTAAATTTTTAAAAATCTAAATAAAGACATATAAAACCCCAAAGAAAACTCTAAAACACTGAGACTGAATACCCAAATAAACAGAGTAGTAGATGATGATCTTTTTGCTAAAACTCAATACTGTAAAGATACCAGTTCTCCCCAAAATGATTTATAGACAGAATTCAATCAAAATCAAACTCCCAAGATTCTCAAATGTATCTGGAAAAACAAAGCACCAAGAAGGGCCAAGACACTCGCCTGTTTTAAAACAATTCACTATTATTATTATTATTATTATTATTTTTTAGAGATAGGTCTTTTTCTGTCATCTGGTTTGGAGTGCAGTGGCACAAGCACAGCTCACTGCAACCCTCAAACTCCTGGGCTCAAGCAATCCTCCCACCTCAGTCTCTGGAGTCAAGACATTCTTGAAGAAGAATGAAAGGGAGTGATCTGTTCTACTAGAAAGCAAGACTTATCATAAAGTTAGAGTAATTAAGGCAATGTGATACCAGCTCAGGAGAGAAATACAGGCCAACAGACGAGAAATAAGCCTAGAAACTGACAAACAAATCCACAGACCTTGACCTATCAAAGACCACAGAACAAGGACAAAAAGAGATGAACTTTTCTATAAATGGTGCTCAGTCAATGCTCTACATATGTAAAAACTTTTATTTCTACCTCAATCCCAACACATATCAACTGCAGATGCATTATAAACAAAAACAATAAAAATTTTTTAAATGTATCTTTATGACCTCAGGAAAAGACTTATTAAAGGCTAAAAAGCAATAACCTTTGAGAATTATATATTTGACAGCATTAAAATTAGGAATTTAGGCTGGGAGTGGCGGCTCATGCCTGTAATCCCAGCACTTTGGGAGGCCAAGGTGTGCGGATCATACAGGAGTTCCACACCAGCCTGGCCAACATGGTGAAACCCCATCTCTACTAAAAATACAAAAATTAGCCAGGCGTGGTGGCACGTGCCGGTAATACCAGCAGGAGGCTGAGGAAGGAGAATTGCTTGAACCTTGGAGGCAGAGGTTGCAGGTTGCAGTGAGCCAAGATCACGCCACTGCACTCCAGCCTGCGTGACAGAGTGAGACTCTCTCAAAAAAAAAAAAAAAAAAAAAAAAGGGAATTTGTTTATCAAGGTATTAAAAACAGGTAAGTTGAAAACAGATATGCAATAATGCAATATACAACCAATAAAAGGTGCAGATGAAGAGTACACAAGAACTGTTATGATGATCTACAATCTAACAGAAAAACAGACACTAGCAATTTATCAAAGAGACTACACAAATGGATAATAAACATAAAAGCTGCTGAAAAATTCAATGATAGTCATAGAAATGCAAATTAAAACCACTACATACCTTTAGAATAAAAGGCCGATTAATACCAAGGAAGCTACAAAGCAATAGGAACCCTCACCCATCACTGGTAGGAGTTTAAGTGGTTTGCAGCTATGGAAAACTGTTGGGCGTTATCTACCGAACTTGGTAATACATGTACCTTATAACCCAGGAGGTGGAGGTTGCAGTGATCTGAGATCACACCAGTGCACTCCAGCTTGGGTGACAAAGTGAGAGTCTGTCTCAAAAAAAAAAAAAAAAGGAAAAAGACAAAAAAAAAAAAAAAAAACACAAGAAAACCACAGCTAAAAGCAACAATACATTTGGATCTCATAATATTAAGTGAAATAATCCAGAGCTCTGCTCCCTCAAAGAACAAAAAAACCCACACACATTCTGTATGGGTAAAGTTCACGAAATAGGCAAAACTGAACTCTTTATGAAGATGCATACCTGTATGGTAAAACCATCAAAAAAAAAAAAAAAAAAAAAAAAAAAAAAGCAAGCCATTATAGTTAAAGTCATGATAGATGATATCTATCATGATTGGGACAAAGGGACAGTGGAGTGATTGGGAGAGGGAAGGAAGGGGGCTTTCAGCATACTGAGAATGTTCTTCTTGACGTAAGTAATTACTACATAGTCCTTCCTTTGTGATGAATCATTTAGCTGCACATTTGTTTTACTCGCCAGTAATTAAAGACCAGTAACTTTAAAATTTCAAATTTTATGTAATCTTAAATCAGGCCTCCAATGAGAAAAAAAAGTGCAGAAAGATCCTAGTCTTTTAAGAATTATTACGAAGATATCACTTTATAACTTTCTAATGCCTATCTCATAACCTGATAGTTCTAAATTGATAGTCAAATAGCAAATCAAATTTGGCATTGGACATCACTGGTCTTCCTTGCAGTAATGAGAGTAAACATTATAATTAATTGGCTTACATGCTCTAGTATTGTAAGTTAGAATTAAAAAAACAAGTAAACAAATTTACCAGCTCCATCAGGTGTCTTATGGAGAGCAACACTGCCTCATTTGATGGTGGATCCATTAACCTACTCAGAAAATAAGCAATTCCACCTAGCCTTAAAATCTGGGGGTGGGGAAGACAAATATAATTAAACACATACAATATTAATATACTAGCATTACAACTTAGCCCTACCTGGGCTGATGACTCAAAGCATCAAATTTATACATGATTTTCAAGCTATTTTACCAAAATGAATTAAAATTATATTTGTATTTCTATAAAAACATGTTTAAAGGCCCATATATATATATTACTACTTTCTACCATCAACTCTATTAATAGGAAAAGTAGTTGGCTAAAATCTTAATGAACAAGTTGATTATCCACTATCTTCAAAATAAGGCTAACTATATCAAAAGATACAAGACACTGAAAAAATAAGTAGTTTATAATGAAGGATAACATGTTAACATGTAATAACAGTAGAATGTTCACTGAGCACTTACTATTTGCCAGGCACTGTTCTAAAAATTTTAGGAGGTTAATTTAAACAACCTGCCCAATATAACAGAACTAGCTTTTCCGGGGTGGAAGCAGGATTCAAACACAGGCAGTCTGCCTCCTCTAGAGCAGTATGTAATTTAAAATTGCTTAATATACATTTGAAGGAAGTTTAAATACACAATTCACTAACATACATACAAAATAAATTGTGAGTTAATAATTCTTTCCTGGAGATTAATACAGTAATTTGTTCTATAAAAGATGTTGAAAATGAGATCACTTCCATTTAGTTTCTTCATTCTCCCACCTAATTTACCTTTATTTGTAAACAAAGTTCTTCCAAAGGAGTTCTCAAAATTTCTGGCAGTTGATAGTCATCTAGAAGACTTGCTCTAAGACCATTATACAGATGATAGCAATGACCAGGTTGAACTCTTAAAAACAAAACAAAACAAAACAAAACAAAACAAAACAAAGAGGGACAGTCATCAATGACTTCTTAGAACTCCAGAGAAAACAGTAGGCAGGGAAGTAGCCAATATCTATTTCTTATAAGCCACATAATAGCTAATGTACATAGTTATTTTTCCCTTTTTATGAATCATGTATTTGTTCTGTTTAGAAAAACCCTACACCCTCTACTCTTGTCACAGTTTTAAGAAAGATACACAATAATTCCTCCCCACGCCAATAATTTGCTTCCCTATTTCTGACAGATTCCAGATTACTGTGCTCAGTAACAGCAGTCTACTCAGGTTAAGGCTAAGAATAGTAACCTCAAGTATGCCTTGTGATCAATTATATTATGTAATGAATCCTGGCATTATGCTAACCTGTCTATATTACTGAAAAATATTTTAAGTACTGTATATTTTATTTAGTGAGTTCTCAGAGGGATATTAAAAGTTTTTGTTTTATATTTATAACTAGAGCCTTAAATGATACCATTTTTTGGACAATGATAAGACTAGATGTAGACTGGGCATGATGGCTCATACCTGTAATCCCAGCACTCTGGGAGGCCAAGGTGGGTGTATCACATAAGGTCAGGAGTTCAAGATCAGCCTGGCCAACATGGTGAAACCCCATCTCTACTAAAAAAAAATACAAAAAATTAGCTGGCTGTGGTGGTATGCTCCTGTAGTCTCAGCTACTTGGGAGGCTGAGGCAGGAGGATCACTTGAACCCAGGAGGCGGAGGTTGCAGTGAGCCGAGATCATGCCACTGTACTCCAGCCTGGCGACAGAACGAGACTCTGTCTCAAAAAAAAAAAAAAAAAAAAAAAAAAAAAAAAAAAAAAAAAAAAGACTAGATGTGAAGTGGTGACCATATTCAAGTATTCTCAAGCAGAATAAATATTTCTATAGGCTCTTGCTGCTATAGGAACAAAAATGAATTCTAAAAATCTTAGCTATTTCTGCCATGAGTCTACATAGATCCATTGTCTATTATATAATATACCTGAATATCTCTCCAGTAGAAACTAAAATAAGAGTACCTCCATTGAGAGCCACATAGTATATAGCTTTTTCTGATCTCCAAAATAAGGCTTTGCTAAAAGAATTTTAATCTATAGACTCTACAAACGACTATTTTCCTTTTAAATTAAAACGCCAATTTCAGGATTAGTTAAAATGCAATACTCTATTAAGTTTAGTTCCATTATTGTTTCATGGAACAAATCTAAGGTTTAGTGTGTTTACTATTCATATATAAAGGTGTGCCAAAACCTGTTCACTATGGTGAATACTTTTTGAATCAATATTTAGTGGTGATGGGTCTACATGGGAAAACCTCAGTCTTTCTGGGTCCCTTATCAAGTTATTCCCTGATAACTGATTATCAGGAGGGTATACTTCTTTGACTAACCCACGATTTTGGTTCAACAGCATCAACTCTCTAATAAACTGTCTCGAAATCAAGTTATACTGGGATAATGTGCAAAGATTACAGCAAGTAAGTCAGAGCTTTATAGATATTGTACAAACTTAAAACAAGGGGTTGACAGATGGTCCGTAAAGTTTTCTTTCAACTCTCCTTTTCTTAAGTCTGTATCGAAAGATTAATGGAAATCTCTTATTCCATCTATAAAAGGTAAAAGAAAAACCCTCTTCTGAAAGTCCAGATATAATTCTATCACTCATATAAGTGTAGAAATACTGTGACATAAGCATTAAAGTCCAATTTTTTGTAAAAGTTCAAGACAAATCATTTTTCCTACCATTAAGACAGAGATATTTTTACTTCTTAAGTTATTGTACCATTATGAGGAAAAGTACTTTCCTTGTGCTTTCATTGAAAAGTACTGGTGAAAAATCAGTACTGCTATAAAATCCAGTGATTACGAGCCTAGACTGTAGAGTCAGAATGCCTGGATTCAAATCCTGCATCTGTAATTTCGAAAGTTATGGCACTTTGGACAAGTCATTTAACTTCCTTGTACCTTAATTTCCTTATCCATAAAATGGATATAATAACCTACCTCATAGTACTGTAGTGAGGATTAAGAAAGTTAATATGAATCAAGTGTTTAGGAGATGATCTGACACTCAAAAAGTATTAGTTGCTATTATTATTACACATATTATATGCTTTAAAAAAAGAAATGAAAACCAACTATTATAAATAACATAACTTATTAATCAAACTCAGAAGTTTAAGGCAAAGGATTCATAAAATAGAAAACTTGGCAGATACTTTTCCAAACTATGATTAAAATAACTTTCTATTTAAAAATGTTTTGCAGTAAGCTCAAAATAATAAGAAAGGTAACTCTTCTAATAAATATATTTAAATGCCAGCATCACATTTTGTTACACAAAATTTTTGTGTGTTCTAAAAGCTTTGGACAGAGTTCCCATCTTACCTTCCAGCTCGACCTTTTCTCTGTTTGGCATTAGCTTTACTAACCCACTCAGCGGACATTGTACTGATATTGTTCTGAGTATCAAAATGTGTCTCTTTGATTTTTCCTCCATCTATCACATAAACGACATCGTCTATGGTAATGCTGTTTGGAAAACAGATATATAAAATGTTAAAAAAAAAAAAAAACACATACACACACACATCAAAAGCACTATTAACCTATAAAAGACCTATAGACAGGGATTTCAGAGCATTTTTTTTTTTTATTGGATCAAATGATTTTAGCCATTCAGGATGTTCACTACTCTTCACACCCACATTTACCAATATTATAGGGATCGAGTACCTAATAGTAGGCAGTGTCAGGCACTGTAAGTGACAACACAGTATTAGTTCTTCAGATCATATACTAAATTCTTACTTGCCTACAGCCAAATATCACAGGTTGCCTCATACCTAGCTCCATGGGAACCCCAACAGCATGGTTTAATATCAGCTTCCATAAAAGAATCTGTTTCAGTGACTAAACTATGTCTTAGTACCCCAAGAGAATACAAGAAAATTTAAAGGCTGGATATAACTAATTACCAAATACTACCCCCAACCAGAAACAGGCGAAAGGACAAAATTTACCTCAGCTCCCATGCTTCTTTAGGTAAACAAAACAAAATCTAACACCTAAAATGCTATTTCTGCGCTAAAGCATTATTATAGGTTAAAAAAACCCCACAAAATTGGCCATGCATGGTGGCTCAGGCCTGTTATCCCAGCACTTTGGGAGGCTGAGGCAATAGGATCGTTTTGAGCCCAGGAGTTAGAGATCAGCCTGGGCAACACAGTGAGACTCTATCTCTACAAAAAATGTTAAAAATCAGACAGGTGTGGTGGCACATGCCTGTGGTACAAGCTACTTGGGAGGCTGAGGTGGAAAGATCACTTGAGCTGAGGAGGTCAAGGCTGCAGTGAGTCATGATCGTACCACTGCACTCCAGCATGGGTGACAAAATGAGACCTTGTCTCGAAAAAGCCCACAAAAAATAAAACTATGCTCACTGCCATAAAAAAGGTTTTATTTTTAATAAATTACAAGGCATGTGGTAGAGAAAAAAGATTAACGTATGTAAATACTTTATGGTGTTTAATCAGTATTTGATATTTAAAACAACTTTTACCTAGTCTCCGCAATGTTGGTAGCAATTACTATTTTCCGAACACCAGGAGGGGTTCTTTTAAACACCTGTAAAAATAAATACATCAGAATCACAAAAGAACACTAATTTCTAATACATTATTTTTGTAATTAGAGGAATTTCTTCAGATACTGTTCATTTTTAGCATTCTATGTTCAGTCACTGACATATACATCTAATATTTATTGACGCATTTATAAAGTATAGATCATTTTCAATATTACAAAATTATCTTTTGGTAAACCAAACTAAATCTCCCACAGATGTCACAATCTTATCACAAACAAGATTTCCAATGAGGTATCATTATTTAAATATACAGCAGTTTTTTAACAAAAGCTGGAGGTTATAAAGTAGAGGGAGGGATATTTATGTTAAGGACAAGAATAATGAAGTCAAATCTCCATGGGTAAGAACAATAAACAATCAGGCAGATGCCCAACCCAGCAGAATAAATGTCAACTGTGCAGCTGTACCAACCACCGTCTACTAGCTTGAGATCAGACTGGAGTGAAAAAAAAATCCTCTTCAAATGGGGAATTCTACAAATACTGCCCACAACCCCGACAAAGTCACTAAAGTAGAAAGAAGATAGGTAATTAAGTACCACTGGCGATAATGCAAACAAACAAAAAAAAGCATAAACTTATCCTTTCATTTATAAAACTGGCAATCAATAGAGAAAATGCTTCCCAGGCTACACACATACTCTCCAGCAAAGGAATACATAATTTACTAGGTTATGATGTGGAAGATGAATACTTTCACGCTGGGTAACTCTTTCAGTCTTTGACATCAAGAGTTTTCTTTCTTGCCCCTTCTCTTCTCTCAGGTATGTACTCTAATTCGGGACTGAGGTACAGCAACAAAAATATTAAAAGGGTCTCAGAGAAAAATATGGTGATATTTTCTTACAAAAAGAGAAAAGGAGAAACTAGAAACGGGGAAAGGAGCAGGTTTTCTAATCAATTTCATTTTGCAAGAGCCTGCGAATACTATAGATCATAACATTATCCTGCCTCTGAGAATGCAGTGTTCACTCTAATTAGGAAAGTGCCTGTATCTGATGGAGTCAAAACATTCATAATACATTATTAAAACAAGAAATTTTATACCTGTGAATATACTAATTTTGTGAAATTAAATCTCAAATCATCATCAAACTGTAGTACGTCATAGATCATTAATTTCCACGTTTGGTTACTGTTGGTAGTACTGACATACCTCTTTCTCTTATTCAGGAAACCCAACCAAGTTACTGGTGAAACCAATTCTTTAAACTTTTCCCTAATGTAGACACAACTAATCTAATTTGTGGGTTATCCTCTAATATTCAAGTTTCTGAGCAATCATTCCCTGAAGACTCATTTGCAAAGGTTCTCAAATAAGTGTTTTTTACATGAATTACTATTTGAAAATGCTCCTTAAAAAAAATAAAGGAAAACATGTAACAAGCAGTCCTTAAAGCTTGCCTCAGTTTGAAATACATTTAACAAATGTATCCATTTAACATACCTGTGTCTGGTTAACTGTAGGCATCAATGAATGTAAAGGTATAATTAAAAATTTATCTGAAAATTAAAGAGAATTAAATTTTAAGATAAAGAGCTGCAGAAAAGCTCCATCAAACACATGAGACAATGAATTCAGATGCTGAGCCACATAATTCTTTTTTTTGATAAGACATTGAACATTGTTTAATGAAAAGAGCTAAACCATCTAAGTTATTGACAAATTGCCCATGTGTTTAAGAGAACCACACAATTCTTAATTTATATTTCTACATACAAACAGACCAACTTAATTTCTTTATAGTCTTGTTTTCTGAGTGCTCCAAGTTCAAGCTAACACTTTGTTCTGTTATTTCATATCGATAAGTATTTTCCCCAAATTCTTAAAGAATGCTCAAAAGTTGGGAGTAACTTTTTCAAATTACACCAATAAAAGTTGAATAGCCGAAAATTCTGTTTAACATGAATATGTTTGTACACTTTGAGTGCTCCTATTTTTTTGTTGTTGAGACAGGGTCTCATTCTGTTGCCCAGGAGAGTGCAGTGGTATGATCTCTGCTCACTGCAACCTCTGCCTCCTGGGCTCGAGTGATCCTCCCACCTCAGCCTCCCAAGTAGCTGAGACCACAGGCATGCACCACCACGTCCAGCTAATTTTTGTATTTTTTGTAGAGATGGGGATTTGCCATGTTGCCTAGGCTGGTCTTGAACTCCTGAGCTCAGGCAATCCACCCGCCTCAGCCTTCCAAAGTACTGGGATTACAGATTACAGGCATGAGCCCGGCGCCTGGCAATCCTCACTATTCTAATCATAACAATAATATCTAAATTTTTAGAGCAAATTACTTATTAAATACCCATGTCCTACTTAGAAAATAATGAAATAGTCCTTGTTAAAAATAATACATTGCAAGAGTGACCCACATTTTAAACCTATTTTGGTGCTCGCTTCGGCAGCACATATACTAAAATTGGAACAATACAGAGATTAGTATGGCCCCTGCGCAAGGATGACACGCAAATTTGTGAAGCGTTCCATATTTTTAAAAAAAGAAAAAAATAAAAAATAAACACATTTTGTTAAAAATATAAGAAATTCCTACTTTTTAAGTTTCCAAATAAAATAGCTCAAGCCCATTCACGATTATTAGCGAACACAGAAAGCCTGATATAATACAGTGATGGGTGAAAGGGAGAGTATTAAGAAAACAAGGGTTAATTTCACATTTAAGTATGCTTACAAAAATACAATCTGACTTAAATGCCCAAATGATTCAAGTCAGCTATATTTCCCCGGAAAAGAACTGTTGTTATCTAAAGGAGATATGATGATCCCCATGGATTCTGTGAAAAGATTTTATGAATCCTAAAAAATAAAAAGTAGTAAACAGCTGTCGAGCAACTGACGTCGCTAAAAAGAATGCTCTGAATTACTTGTCTCCGTGACAGTATGAAGTATTTCAACTATAATGTTCGAGCCAAAAATACTTGAATTGAATCAAGCCTTCAGATATAACTTCCAAGTTACAGGAAATACAGGTAAGAGAGAATCAAATGAAATGATAGCATAAAGAGTCAGAAAAATTCAGACAGTTGGACTTATTAGAGAACAACTGGCCTGGTCTTTTCCATGACTTTATTACCATGAGGAAAAAAGCAGGGAGTGGAGGGGAGCAATGTTCTAGAGCCAGATCAAAAGATGTATTTAGTTTGACATTTTCTATAGTTTGAACAGACTAGCTGTGAAAGACACTTCAAAAAAATGGGAAAATCTGATTACAGACTGGATTATTAGATGGTATTAAGGATTAGGTATGATAAAGACATGATGGTTATATAGAAAATTGCCTTTAGAGATTCTTGCTTATACATTTAGAAATAAAATGTGACAGCTGCAATTGACTTTAGGAAAAAACTAGGACTGAAAAAATAATTGTTGGCACTGAAGTCGTGGATATATATATGGTATTCATTAAAATTCTCTAGTTTTGGGTGCAGCAGCTCACACATGTAATCCCAGCACTTTCAGAGGCCAAGGCAGATGGATCACAAGGTCAGGAGTTCAAGACCAGCCTAGCTAAGATGGTGAAACCCTGTCTCTACTAAAAATACAAAAATTACCCAGGCATGGTGGTGGGCACCTATAATCCCAGCTACTCAGAAGGCTGAAACAGGGAACTGCTTGAACCTGGGAGGCAGAGATTGCAGTGAGCTGAGATCGCACCACTGCACTCCAGTCTGACAGAGACAGAGACTCCAGCTCAAAAAAAAAAAAAAAGATTCTCTAGTTTTTTGTATGTTTAAAATGTTTCTTTACAAAAAGTTCAAAGCCAGGCATAATAAAAGTAAAAACAATTTTGTTGAAGACTACATAATCGGGGAAAAAAAATTTATATTGCTGATACCATACAACTAACAGAGTTAATGAGAACAAAATCTACACTCTTATGAAAAGAAAGAAACAAGAAATTGATAAGCATTTAATAAACTGAGTTTCAAAACTTAACTTCTCGGCACAGAGTTAGGCCAATTTTTTCCCCATGACAGTGACTGACTATACAACTGATTATCAAGGCTAAGCTTTTTTCAACATAATTTGAGAAAAAACACTCAAGTTCTGGAAAGATTTCCTTTAAAAGGAATTGAGCTGGTAGTGGAAGTATATACATCAGTAACTCTTTCCTTTAGAATAATTAATTCAAACTAGAAAGTTAATGAAGTCAATTATAATAATCTGTAATATCACACCCTTTTCCCACTCCCCACCACATACACTAAATGATAATATTTTGGTATATATCTTATCTTTATTGGTAAATATATGCATATATTTTTAAAAATTATAAGTACACTATGCAATAATGTTTATAATGGGGGAAGGAAAGGACAGAGTTAGAAGATTTAGCCAATAAAAAATTTTAGTTGTTTGAAAAAAAAAAATTCAGCTGTCTAATCATGACAAACTTTTCTACAGAGAAAAGTTGTCACACAAAAAGAAAACAGAAAACAGTGTTTCTTTATAGAGAAGTCAATTAGATCAAAATACTTCACCAGCTAGATAGTAAATAATTTTAATTACAGAGAATGCTTTCAGAGCATGACAACGGGATTTAACAAATAATAAAAATACGCATTTATTATTTTAGTCAATACAATTAGATCAAAATATTTTCTGGTGCCTGTAAATTTTGTCTGGCTGGGCGCGGTGGCTCATGCCTGTAATCCCAGCACTTTGGGAGGCTGAGGCAAGCGGATCACGAGGTCAGGAGTTCGAGACCATCCTGGCTAACACGGTGAAACCCCGTCTCTACTAAAAATACAAAAAAATTAGCCGGGCGTGGTGGTGGATGCCTGTAGTCCCAGCTACTCAGGAGGCTGAGGCAGGAGAATCTCATGAACCTGGAAGGCAGAGATTGCAGTGAGTCGAGATCGCACCACTGCGCTCCAGCCTGGGCAACAGAGTTAGACTGCCTCAAAAATAAATAAATAAATAAATTTTGTCAAAAGCACTTCAACAGAGTGAGGTTAGAAATTATATTTGGAGGCCACGCGTGGTGGCTCAAGCCTGTAATCCCAGCACTCTGGAAGGCTGAGGTGGGAGGATCACTTCAGGTCTGGAGTTCGAGACCAGCCTGGCCAACATAGTGAAACCCCATCTCTACTAAAAATGCAAAAAGTCGGCTGGCATGGTGGCACATGCCTGTAATCCCAGCTACCCCAGAGGCTGAGGCAGGAGAACTGCTTGAACCCAGGAGGCAGAGGTTGCAGTGAGCCGAGATGGCACCAACACACTCCAGACTGCCAACAGAGTGAGACTTCATCTCAAAATAAAAAAATTATATTCAGAACCGTAAAAATTAAATAGAATTTGTTTTGTTGTTTTTATATTTGAAGTTAATGATTGCTGAAAATACTCTAAATTTTATAGAAAAAAATGTTCTCATTCATTCCTCTGACGTTTATATGTTTCAAAATATGCTGCTCATACAGGATCAAAATCACTTGAGGAATTTTTAAAACTTCAGATGTTCAGGTCACATTCTTAGATTTGGGGTGATGATGGGGTCTACGTATCTGAACCTTAAAGAAGCTCCATGGGTGACTCTGTTGCATAGTCAGAATTCAGAAATACTGGGCTAAGGGATTTCTTTTTTGCAGCAGTGAGTGAAAAAATGAAAAACCCCACATACCTATGCTTTAAGAGCCAATTTTATTAGGCAAATTGTGAAAAAGAAAGAAAATATTCTCTTCAAAATACTAAATAAAAAGCTTTCCCTTCATCTGTGACCTAGTAGAAGCAACACTTCTTCAAATAAAAGAAAAATATACACATCCCACATATAATTCAAATACCACTCTTTGAATTATAGTAAAATATATTTACATAATACCTGATTTAAACATTACTTGTGACATCAAGAGATCATGTAAAGTGCTGATATTGTCCCAGCCTGGTAGAAAGACCAGTATCGCACCATCCTATATGAAGGGGAAATAACCATTACAAAGGATCGTATCAACAAAATGCAGTAACAGTAAAATTGTGTGCACACTTAAGTCTCCATTAAAATTACACTAGCTCAGGATAATTTTCATTAATAATTAAAAGTATATAAGCCCACTTTTTTTTTTTTTTTTTAATTATTGGTTTTGAGCCAGAGTCTTGCTCTGTCACCCAGGCTGGAGTACAACGGCATGATCTCGGATCACTGCAACATCTGCCTCCTGGGTTCAAGCGATTCTCATGCTCAGCCTCCCAAGTAGCTGGGATTACAGACCTGCGCCATCACGCTCAGCTAATTTTTGTATTTTTAGTAGAGACAGGGTTTTGCCATGTTGGCCAGGCTGGTCTCAAACTCCTGGCCTCTAGTGATCCACCTGCTTTGGCCTCCCAGATTGCTGGGATTACAGGCGTGAGCCACTGCACCCGGCTAAGCTCACTATTAAAAAATGAGATTTATAATCCAGATATTTGTTTAGTTTTTTCTTCAAACAGGTCAAATGCCTAAATCTTCTGCTACTATGAGATGATTTCTAGTATCAAAAGTAATTTTTTCCAAGCTATTTTATAAACATTTAAGAAAATTGTATTTTTCATGGCCTTGATACATTAATAAAATTAAAATTATGTTAACTGAAGAAAGAAAAATAAACAAAACTAACCTCTTCTTCCAAAACAATGTATCGGATAAGGGCAACAATCAAATTGAGATCAACTTTATCATCATCCATCATTTCTATAACATCTACAGTACTTGCAGAATACCTATCAAAGTTAAACACAAAGTTACAAAATACTTAATCAAGTTTTCTAGTAACTTGCTATAAAAGTTTAAAATTAACTCAATCTGCAAATGGAGGAACATAATCTACACATCGCAGAGAATTACTGGGCTAATAATGCTTAAAAGTCAAATCAGCACAATATTTAGCTGGAGTAAGAGATTCACAGTCCTCTCCTTTAAGTATGTACAGATTCAAGAAGATGCTCCCAGTCCCTGGCTTTCTGTTTTAGTTATTGAGCCACTGATTTCTCACCTTCAAACAAAATAAACTCACCTTCTTCGCAGTTCCCTTACATAATCTGGCCAACGTTCTTTATATATTGCTTCTTTTTCTTCTTTTTCTTGTCTGTTTACATGCCCTTGCATGAAACCCCTCTTAAACTGGGATCTGTGTTCTTTTTGTTCTGGAACATACCTAAAATAAAAACATTCTTGAATATCTTCACTTTTTTGAAACTCTAGTTTTAGCTAAAATCTGTGATATTTTATATTTAGGATTTTCAAAAAGAATTCTACAGAATATTTTCATTATGCTTTCGAGTGAATGCTAGCTAAAATATCAGTTTGTGTTCACTAACTTATAAAACCTGATATTTTAGATAAAAATCATTCTTCTCTATTGAAGTATAGAAACCTATAGACCATTTTTAGTACTTAAAATTCTTAAAAAACACTAGAGTAACTTTTACCTTAAATTTTAAGTTTGCTTTAGAACAATAGTTAACATTAATGTAAGTCCAAACCTGACTGCACATAAGAACTGAATCCCTCAGAGAGTTTGTAAAATACAGACTCCTAAATCCCATCCCTGATGATTTGGATTTGGTAGGTATGCCTTGGGTCTATTAATCTAAGGATTTTAATTAGTGCCCGCAGGAGATTCAGATAGTATATCCAGATCTAGAGACCCATGCTAGAGAACTATTTAATTCTGCTCAGTCACACAGTTGTAGCTAATGGCAGATCCAGAATCAGCATTCAAGTCTCTCATATGTCAATCGAGTGCTGTACTATGATTCCACTACCATCCTATAGTGACTGCTAAAACCACAGAGGGCACATCTGGACAATAATTCTACCTATCACTGTCAGTCCTGCGAGGCATGGGGTGGGAAAAGATAAAAATGAACCCACACTTTAACCCCAAGGCGTCTCTGAGTTCAACTAGAGGACAGCCTCTAGATGGAATGGGGGAGGGGTTGGAGCATGGACTCCCAAGTCAGAATTGATGTCCTTGCTCAGCTACTGACTAGCTGCGTGACCTTATATAAGGCATTAAATATCTGGTCTTTAGTTATATTATTTGAGAGATTAATATGTTTATAACAGTACTGGCATGAGATTTTTAAAAATGTGATAAAGTTAAAAAAAAAAAGTGATAAAGCCTCATGTATAGCAGATACCCAGAAAATGTTAATCCCCTTCCCTATTCAGTACCTGTGACCCAGAATTCCCCTAAGTCTTAGATACATACAGAGGCACCAACTTGAGGTAGGGCAAACTGAGACACAGATTGGTTCTAGTCAGCAGGATGGACCCACAGTCGGCTCCCTTTCCAGAAATTGCAAAACAGAGGTAACCTTCAATCCTCCCACCTCCAATCACAACCCTCCATATCATCTTGCCCTGCTCTTGTTCTGGTCATTGTATTTTCTTTGCTACCTCCCTGCTGTGCAGCTCTTCTTCTGGGAAGGGGACAGCCAGGAGCTTCTGATGAAAATCTCTAATCAAGGAACACCCTCATTCAACTCTCCTCTTAGAGTTGATCAGCAGATGACAAAAGCACAGATACCATCTTTTCGTTTCAAGAGACTGCTTGGCTACAATTCCATATGCATTCCCTAACATCCAGGGAGCTTCAGAAAGCAAGTTTCCATCAGGTGCCTTCAGATTATTGATCCTCAAAACTTTGTTTTCATTGTTGCCAAGCAGTTGCCTATTATTTTCCTGGCAAGCAATTGCTAAATGTGCCATGATAGGATGTGGGACACATGGTAAAAAGTGGAAACGAAGAGGGAGGATACAGAAAATTTATGGCCGCTGATGATAAAATCAGGACATGGAAGACCATTACATGCTGTCTCTCTGAGGCTTTTAGTATGTTCTATCTTCTCTGACATATACATTTCCCTCTTTCCTACTTTGACTTCAACTGCTTTCCTAACTTGACCAGTCTCTACCTAACATATCAAATCTGATTTCTAATATACTCTTCACTTCCCTCAGACTTCATATATAACAGCTTATGTGTCTCCCTGTCTACAAATAAATTCTGAGAGAATATACCAAGTCTCCCCTTGCTTAATGTTCAGACCCTAGCACAGTGCAAAGCATTGAGTAAATACTTGTGAAATAAATGGTCAAAACTCAGCAGATTTTTCTTCATATAAAAATGGTTGTAGGAACTTTGCTCTCACCTTCCACTCTCACTTCCTGGTTTTCTTAAGATAACTTTAGAGTCTTGAAAAATCTCATCCCAAGTGTTTCTACATCTAGTCCCCAATCCCTTTTTGAAACACGGTCTCCCTTTGTCACCTGGGCTGCAGTGCAGTGGTGTGATCTCTATTCACTGCAATCTCCGCCTCCCAGGCTCAAGAAATCCTCCCACCTCAGCGTCCTGAGTAGCTGGGTCTATAAGCGCATGGCACCTCATGCAGCTTACTTTTGTATTTTTTGTAGAGACGGGGTTTCACCACGTTGCCCAGACTGGTCTTGAACTGCTGGGCTCAAGCGATCTGCTCCACCTCTGCCTACCAAAGCATTGGGATTACAGACATGAGCCACCATGCCTGGCTGTCCTTTTTTTCATTCAGATTTACCATAGGTTAGGCACTGTGCTATGTACTAGTTACTAAAATAAACAAGACAAAATCCTGAACCCCAAAAAGTCTGAAATCTAGTGCAAGAGGCAAAACAAAGAGATACACTATACAACAAATAACATAAGTGTTATAAGAGATATGATACAAATGTTGCAGGAATACAGATGAGAAAGAATTAAAGGCCGCCCGGGTGTGGTGGCTCACACCTGTAATCCCAGCAGTTTGGGAGGCCGAGGGGGGCAGATCACAAGGTCAAGAGATCGAGACCATCCTGGCAAACATGGTGAAACCCCATCTCTACTAAAAATGCAAAAATCAGCTGGGCATGGTGGCGTGCACCTATAGTCCCAGGTACTCAGGAGGCTGCGGCAGAAGAATTGCTTGAACCTGGGAGGTGGAGGTTGCAGTGAGCGGAGATCACACCACTGCACTCCAGCCTGGCGATGGAGTGAAACTCTGTCTCCAAAAAAAAAAAAAAAGAAGAATTCAAGTCTGTGAGAGGTATTACGGAAGGCTTAACAAGCAATGAAGCTGGGATTTTTCTTATATAATCAATAGCTTACAAATGAAAGGATGGAGAAGATGGCATATAAAGGTCTAAGAGGAAGGAAAACATAACAGCGCAAATTCATGAATGAGAGGGCATGGCATGCTAAATATACCATTATGGAATGGTATACTTAGCACAAGCAGGCCATAGGACACGTGACTGGGAAATGAGGCTAGAAAAGAGGATGGGGACACACTGTAAAGGGCCTTGGAATGACCAGCTAAGGAATTTGAACCTGATCCTATGGGGCTGTGCTTCTCAGTCTTTTTCCCATCAAAGAATACAAATACAATTCTACACAAGCTCCTGGAGAAGTCTGCTAGCAGCAAAAGGCCAGTGGTCAGAATGCTGAGGGAATCAGTAACTTAGGCATACCAGCTGATGTGCTCTATTATAGCCATGGCAAACCAAAAAAGGCTCTTAACAGTTTCTTAAAGAGATATCACATATGCAAGGAGCTTGCCCAGGAGAAGAAAGCTCACATGAACAAATTGTTTTTAGGAAAATACATGGCAGCAATCCTAAGAGTGAAGAATATAGTACCAAAAGAGTAACTATTATATAGCACAGGAGAGACAATAAGGACCTTGGCAAACAAATAAAAATGAAAAGGCATGTTCAAGAAGAAAGTTCCCACGGTTTGTGTCTGTTTGAAGGCAAATACAAAATGACTTGGATTAACTTGGTTACTCAGCGTGTAAAACAGTTGCCATACTCTGGTATATAACTGCCTGATACACACTAGCTTTTGATTTATAGGTTAGAAAACTGAGTGGAGGATAATCATTAACCATTATATAGTAAAGTATAAAGTATAAAACATTGTTTTATTTTTTTGGTGGGAGAATATAAGATAACAATTTAGGCTTGAGAAATGTTAGGTTCAAGGCATCTGTGGTGCTAGACTACTACTGAGTAGAAAGCCAGTTCAAAGATCAGGAGAAGCTTCAGTTCTGAAGCTATACTACTGAAAGCTGTGAAAATATACAACTACAGTCAGGGATATAAACAGGTTTGCACAGTGAAAACATAAATGATTGAGAAGCCTGGGGGAAATTATATTTAAATGTTAGGCAATGGAAGCCAACAAAGGAAAGTAAAAATCAGGTAACAGAACCATCAAAACGGCTCAAACACTTAAGACAAAGGTTCCCAAACTTTGCTGCCCAGGGATCTTCAAAAAACACTGATGCCAGCCAGGCGTGGTAGCTCATGCCTGTAATCCCACTACTTTGGGATGCTGAAGCGGGCAGATCACGTGAGGTCAGGAGTTTGAGACCAGCCTGGCCAACATGGTGAAACTGTGTTTCTACTAAAAATACAAAAATTAGCTGTGCACAGTGGTGTGTGCCTGTAATCCCAGTTACTTGGGAGGCTGAGGTGGGAGAATCACTTCAACCTGGAAGGCGGAGGTCGCCGTGAGTGGAGATGGCTACACTGCACTATAGGCTGGGTGACAGAGAGAGACTGTCTCAAAAAAAAAAAAAAAAAAAAAAAAAACCACTGATGCCTGGCTACTACCTCAGACATTGTAATGTAATTTAGGTAGGAGTATAAATTAGGCATCTGGAGTTTAAAAAGCTCCAGGTAATTTTAATGTGCAGCCAAGTATAGCTAATTCCCAGCAAATTTTTTACAAGGCGGTAGTCAATGGTGGGTTTCTGAGACTAAAGTTTGACATAAGAAAAGTGATATATTAGTACTTTTTAATGTTTTTTATTTTCTAATGTTTACTTACCTTATTTTTTCAATTATATCTTCCAAAAGATATTCCACAACCGGAAAGGTAAAACCAGGTATATGTATCATTGGACAGTTACCTATCACGGCAGACAAAATATAAGCATAAATTTGTACTCAAATGTTAAAAAAATTAATATACTGTAAATAGGACAATGACTCTATTACTTACTATTAATTCCAGAAAATGGTCCTGTAGCTTTTACAGTTCTACCCTATTTTTCCATATCTACTTTAATAAAAAGCAGCAGTCTAGTCTTCACTCAATACCACTTTACTGCTACCAAACTGTACACACATCTCAGTTCTACAAAATAACACAGAATACCAAAGAATAGAGTTTTAAGTTGAACTCAAAATCCATTAGTTAGAAGTCTATTTTCTCTTCATCACTAACCCAGATGGTATCATAACAGAATATCCAGAATATCGAAGTTTTACTGAATTCCAGATAAGCATTACTACTTGTAGCACCCAGAATTAGTGGAGAAAAGTAATCAAAACAAGACCTAAACAAATAAATTGCTACAATTTCAAAATTACTAATAAAAAAATCACTTCAGCATTGTTATTTAAATGCTCTTTACATTTCATAACAAGGAAAACAAGCAGTACACACTGAAAAATCAAACATCACATGGGAGGTCAAAATATCTGAGCAGGTATCACTGCTCTACATATGACGTGCATACATTTGAGCAAGGTACTCAATGTTAGTTCTAGAAGCCTCATTTTAAAAAAACAACAATAACACCTACCCCAACTAACCTTACATGGTTTTCAGTTTAACTGGGATGTATTTTAAAGGACTTTTATAATGCTGATGACAAGAACATTTATTAAACATAACTATATTACATTGTAATTCCCTCCCTTTCCCCTTCTTTCCTTCACAAGTATAAGCAGGAAAGACAGTTAGGACTGATTTTAAAAGAATGTGCTTTGCAGCTGGTCCAATCTACGTTCAGCTTGGGAAAGCTACTTAACTGCTCTGAGGCTGCTTTCTCATCTGTAAAAATGTGAATAATAGTACGTACCTCATAAAGTATTATAAAGACTAAGGAAGACAAAGTGGTAAATATACTACCTGGAACACTGAAGGTGTTTCGTTAAGTGGTCACTAGCAGTATTAGCAGAAAACTGCCACCCTAACCTGTGATAGTAGATAAAAGCCACAGAAAAATTACAGAAAGAAGTTTATAAAGTTACGCAAATCTGTGGTTTGACTTCAACGATGCCATCTTAATTGTGTGGCGGTAGCAACAAGAAGCTACCTGTCCTCACTATCAGAGATGATGCCATCATTTAAAAATAGACCCAACTGTCTAATCCATGAAACTGTAGGGTAGAATAATATTAAAATAAAATTAATAGCTAAACATTCATTTTGACTACTCTTTACCTAGTACCATATTAATTTTTTTTAATTAAGTGGTTTTCTAGTACCTTTTCTAATGTAGTAACTACACATTTTACTCACCAAAATATTCTGAAAACTTTTCTGCATTCAATGTTGCACTCATCAGTATTACTTTCAAGTCAGATCGAAAATTGAGAAGATCTTTAACAACAGTCATTAAAACATCTGACTGCAGGTTTCTTTCATGGATTTCATCAAGTACGATATGACTAACGCTGGACAAACACCTAAGGCAGAAGTGTGAAGTACAAAATTTTAAAACCATTTTTCTTTAATGACTAGTAAAATCCAATTTAATAATTACATCTTTTCATAATACTTATATTTCCTTAATTGAAACATACTCACGGGTCTGACTGGAGCCACTGAAGGATGATTCCTGTTGTACAGTATAAGATAGAACCCTGTTTCCTTGGCAACCGACTGTGAATGAAAGACATGAACTAATAATTCTTGGTTTTCTTTCCTAGTAATTAGCTAACTACCACAAAGGTTTATATCTTCAATTTTAGAAATGCTTTCAGTTTTAATGAAAATCTTCATATTTTTTTTTTTAGTTATAAGAACACCCACCACAATAGGGTAATGGGAAATACTTCATTCAAATTCATTATACATTATCATTGTTGTCATTGATACAATGTTAATTTCTTTTAAAAGATAAGACCATTGACATTGAGATAACAACTGACTTACTTACAGGGCCTAAATATTTGGTTCATAATTGGAAAGTTCACTCATTTGAAAAGGCAAACGTGTCAGGCATGGTGGCTCACGCCTGTAATCCCAACACTTTGAGGCTGAGATGGGAGGGTTGCTTGAGCCTAGGAGTTCAAGATCAACCTGGACAACATAGGGAGATTCAGTCTTGAAAAGTAAAAAAAATTAGCCAGTCATAGTGGTGTGCACTGATAGCCCCACCTACTTGAGAGGTTGAGGTGGGAGGATTGCTTGAACACAGGAGTCTTAGGCTGCAGTGAGCTGACTGCACCACTGCACTTCGGCCAGAGCGACAGAATGAGAACCTATCTCTGGCCACAGCGACAGAATGAGAACCTATCTCTAAAAAACGTTAAGTAAATTAAAACATAAAAAGGCAAATGGAGTCCGAAGCTCCAGAAAAGAACCAGATATGTACTGCACAGTGGAGTTGGATAGGGGGTTAAGATACCAAAATCAATTTAAAAAGTCAGTCAGAAGTGTGTGGAGGTGGTACTGAAAGGTATAGAACACAATCTTTTCAGAGAGAGTAATGGTCTACTAATCTATGTCCAGGAAAAATGTTTATTTTTCTAATCATTCCAAATATAAAAGCACCATTTTAAAAAGGCAATCGAAGTCCGATTGGGTTAAAAGATAAATTTGTGGCAGCAAGCCATCTATGCTGCAATTACTTTAAATGGTAATTGTAATAGTAATAACCATCATAAAAATGGGGAAAATATCCTTTCTTTTGAATCTCCAGCTTCAAAGTTTCATAAAATCTGCTTGCATATAAGAAGTGAACATTTCTTACCTCTGGAGACGAATTTGATATCCAGTACTATTACCATTGCCACAAGATTCTGCCCTTTCTGCAGCCACTCTTTCCGCAACCTTTAATTCAAACAAAATATAAAGAGAATATAATTTCCTTTAGAACAAATATCCTGAATATCCATGAAAATCTCGGACAGTTGAAAAATTGCTCTTCAGATTTCTCAATGAGTTAAAAAAAAACAGATATTAAAATCTGAGGTATCTAAAACAGTGTGTGCCTCTCTCAAGAGCTGTTCATGCTTATTTTTCATTTCCTCTTATAAAATCTTGTAAGGCCAAGTTCTCTCATCACTAGTTTCAAAGCGCCTTTCTATAGCATCCTCTCATTAATTTATACATTTTTGGTCTTTTCTAAGAGCTGCAAATCAAGATCTAAACTTGTAGAAGTTATGCGTAATTCGAAAGTAATTACATACTGATACTCTTCCCTTGTGTTTTTGTTTGTGGTAGGGACTGGTGTTGAATTTCTAGTTCTTGGTCATGCTTTGAAAGTTACAACTGCCAAAAATAAGCTTTGGAAAGATGAAATGTTATAATCTAATACTGATTTGTACAACTAAAAGTAACTGACAGTTATTTCATGACAGAACAGTGATAATAAGGGATCAGAAATAGAAAATGGCATAATTTCTAAGAAATAATATTTTGGAAGTAAAACTTTCCAAAGTATACCTAGTACACACTGACAGACCACGTTAACCTGTCTACTCAAATTCCAACAGATGGTGAAAAAAGAAGAAAAAAATTACCTACTTAGCATTTATTCCTACTATCTGCATATACAATAACGGCTATATATTAGTGAAAATATTTAAGTCTAGCTACAAAACTGTGTTATAACAAAAGTGGTTTATTTTTCACCATTCCGTAATTTTATGCTATTTCCTGGAATATCATCCCCATAAAAGGGTGAAGACCACCTGAAACTAAAACTACTAGAAGAAAACCTAGGGAAAAACTCTTTCAGACATTGGTCTAGGCCAAGAATTTATGACTAAGACCTCAAAAGCACAGACGACAAAAATAAAAATAGACAAATGGGAATCAACTGAGAAATTTCTACACAACAAAAGAAATAATCAACAGAGTAAACAGATAATCTCCAGAATGGAAGAAAATATGTACAAACTATTCATTCAGCAGCGGACAAATATCCAGTATACACAAGAAACTCAAACAACAACAACAAAAGACAAATCATCCCATTAGAAGGAGGGCAAAAGACAGGAACAGACATTTTTCAAAAGAAGATATACAAATGGCCAACAGGTATATGAAAAATGCACAACATCATCATCAGAGAAATGCAAATTAAAACCACAATGAGAAATCATCTTACTCCAGTCAAAATGGCTACTATGAAAGAGTCAAAAAATAATAGATCTTGGCCAGGACATGGATAAAAGAGAACTCTTACATACTGTTAGTGGGAATGTAAATTAGTACAGCCTCTATAGATAACAATATGGATAGAACTAAGAATAGCGCTATCATTTGATCCAGCAATCCCACTACTGGGTTTGTACCCAAAGGAAAAGAAATCAATGTATCAAAAAAAACCAACCAACCAACCAAACAAACAAAAAAACACCTGCCTTGCATGTTTATCACAGTACCATTCACAATAGTCAAGATATGGAATCAATCTAAGTGCCTATCAATGGATGACTGGATAAGGAATGGAATAATACTATTCAGCTGTGAGAGTGAAATCATGTCGAAATAGACACAGAAAGACAAATATCATATCTCACATAAGTGGGTGCTAAAAACCAGGTATATGTTGACATAAAGTATGGAATGACAAACAATGGAGACTCAGAAGAGAAGGTAGGAGGGGGACAGATGATGAGAAATTACTTAATGGGTACAATGTATATGATGTGGGTGATGGACACCCTAGAAGCCCTCACTTAACCACTACAGAATCTATGCATGTAACAAAATTGCACTTGTATCCCATAAATTTACACAATTTTTTTTTAAAAGCAGTGAAGTCTACTGCTCTTTCTTTATACTACTTCTTAGAAACCAAAGCTTAAAACATATACTGTATTTTCTGAGAAATACTGTCGTAATTGGTAATGTTTTTAACCACAGATTCTATATTAAATGACTTAGACATGTGATAAACAGCACTGTCATAAAACCAAAGACAAACACAAACCTTTATAATTTATACACAAAATTATACAGCATAAATAAATTCACTATGCATACTGAAATATGACAAGAAACCCCAAACACCTTTAAAAAATATATAAAACATAATTAACTAGGTCATCTAACTAAAAATAATAACAACAAAATCAATGTACAGGTTGAGTATTCCTTAGCCAAAATGATCAGGACCAGAAGTGTTTCCGGTTTTGGATTTTGGAATATTTTCATTATACTTGCCCTTGTTAAGCATCCCAAATCTGAAAATCCAAAATGTGAAATGCTCTAGTGAGCATTTCCATGTTGGTACTCAAACAGTTCTAGATTTGGGAGCATTCTGGATTTCGTATAGTCAACCTGAAATAAGTTACTTATAAGTGTTACTTATGTATGCCTTCCCAAAATTTTGGACTTGACAAACCAGAAACAATACCTTATTTTTCCTCATGATAAATTTCCTCTTACTGAGTAGCTGCATTCAAAATGACTGACTATGACTGGGCACAGTGGCTTATGCCTGTAATCCCAGCACTTTGGGAGGCTTAAGTGGGCAGATCATTTGAGCCCAGTATTCAAGACCAGCATGGGCAACACGGCAAAACCCCATCTCTACAAAAAATACAAATATTAGCCAGGTATGGTGGCACATGCCTATAGTACCACCTACTTGGGGGGCTGAGGCAGGAGGATCACTTGAACTCTAGAGGTTGAGGCTGCACTGAGGCCGTGTTATCACCACTGCATTCCACCTTAAGTGACAAAGTAAGACCCTATCTCAAAAAATAATTAAATAAAACACTGATTATAGAAATACAGCTTAAAAGGTTTCCCACTTTCACCACCATTCATATACTGAAAAAATGACAGAAGTAAAAAAAAAAAAAATTAAATAATCCAAGTAGTAAAATGTAAAGGAATCAAATGATGGAGATTATCTGAAGCTTGTAATCAATTCCGGAAACATTTTATCTATTTCATTCTTGTGAATACACACTGAAATTTGCCTGGATATAAAGTTTATCTTGAATTCATAAATATCTATTATCTGTTAAGACAGTGGTTACTCAATTTTTTGGCCTTTATTATTAAACATGTTAAGCAAATATTTGCTTTCACAGTCACAAATCCTAAGCCTAATTAAGAATCACTCCACACCTTCAGAATCAGTAGGTTCTAGCAAGATTACTTTAAAAAAGACATTTGTAATAAGTTAAGAGATTACTTACTGAAATGGCACTAATTCTTCTTGGCTGAGTACAAACGATCCTACAAGCAGATCCTTTTCCTCTTTCAATGTAGTTATCCAAAATGAACTGAGTAACTTGAGTGGTTTTGCCACAACCAGTTTCACCACTTATTACTGTTACCTGATGTTTATCAATTAAATTTACCAATTCCTATTTCAAAAGGGAAAATAAAGAAAATCACATGTTGTCTAAGTTTGAAAAAAGATATTAATCAAAATTCGACCAAACTGAAGATAATTATTTTTAAAAAATATATTAATGTTTTCTAAATTTTGTCATATCCAATACCGGCAGTTTGGATATCTGGATCTACCAATCTGCAAGAGATAAGTACACCAAACTATAAAGAACAAAGCCAAAGCACTGTTAAAGAAAAACATACTGACATAAACAAGAAGAGATAGCTTATAAGTTCCACGCAGAAGAATTAAAATAATGTTGACATGTGGGGCTACTGACTACAGAAGCAAACTCCCGGCCTAAACAACTACTGATGACATTACGAATTTATATCATAATTCATAAATATGGCTTTGTCTGCAGAACAAGTTTTGTATGCCATTTTAGGAACAAGGAAGAAAATACTGTAGTTTAAAATGACTTCCTTTCAAATAATTAAAATAAAGTCATTAAATATCTAAACCAAAGCTATCTAGAAAACCTCACACTTGGGGAAGATGTTCTTCTACAAAATTGTATGTATTCATATTTTTAATAATAATATTCACTGTATAAACAAAGTCATCTTACTATCTCAAAGGGATGTTAGGGGTTATTTTCATGTACAAAACAATTTAATTTGAAAACCTACCTTTTAAAAATTCCCCACTTAGGCCAGGCATAGTGGCTCACGCCTATAATCCCAGCACTTTGGGAGGCAGTGGCAGGTGGATCTCGAGGTCAGGAGATCGAGACCATCCTGGCCAACATGGTGAAACCCCATCTCTACTAAAACTACAAAAATTAGCTGGGCATGGTGGTGGGCACCTGTAACCTCAGCTATTCAGGAAGCTGAGGTAGGAGAATCGCTAGAATCCAGGAGTCAGAGGTTGCAGTAAGCCGAGATCATGCCACTGCACTCCAACCTGGTGACAGAGCAAGACTCCCTTTCAAAAAAAAAAAAAAAAAAATTCCCCACTTATTCTAACACATTATACATATATATAGATGTATATATATCAGAAAAAAGTTTTAAGTTTGAACACTGAAATTATAGCTGGTAAATACCGAGAAGTGAAATGTGATTCATCCATTCAATAGGTATTTGTTTATTGGATGTCTTTAGAATGCCAGGCACTGTTCTGAGTCAAGAGACACAGAGTGAACAAAACAAATCCTATCCTCAAGAACTTACACTGGCCTGGGAAGGGAAGACACACAAATGTCAGGTGGTAATAAGTGCTATGAAAAGCAAAAAATAAAGTAAAATAAAATAAGGTTGAGAAAACAGAGAAGGATGAGCGATCATATTATTCTATATAGGGTAATCATATTTTAAGATATAGCGTAATAAAGAACTGTATTTTTAGTAGTACATAAATTATTTCGCACCTTGATTTTAATTAATATATTAATTTGTACATTAATCTTAACTGAAGTGTCTGGTCTTGACTTAAGTGCAAGCTATTTATCCAAAGTAACTTATAAGAGGAAATTTTACTTTTTAAATTTCAAAGATTTCAATTATGAACAAAAACAGGAGAAAACATCAGGAAAATTGTTTATATCCTTTTATTTCTTTCTGTCCTTAATTCAAAAGAATAAAATTAACTTCCAATACTATCCTGTAGAAGAAAGTTCATTAATTTACATTTTTTTCTTGATACAGAGCTCTTTAAAAAAAAAAAAATTGTGTATTTAATTTGTAAATCAAATTAAATAGTGGAAAAAAACACTTTACCTTTTGCATTCCATATGAAGGCAGCTTTTCTCTGAAATGCTGAAATTTAAAAAAAGTTTTAAATTTTCACAAAAGATATGTAATTAAATTATAATCATGGTAATTAGGATATATCATAGGGTAAATTCGCTAGAATCCAAAAGTATTTTTATTATCTTATGGCTTGTGTAAAAAAATTATAAGAATAATTTATCAATTCCTTTTATGTCTGAAACATTCAAAACCAGAACTCCATTCCCAGCAAAATGGAGACAATGCTTTAAACTCAGTGGCAGTAAAATGAAATCGGATCTGTCCTAACAGCATTCTAATGATTGCTAAATTACTTTCACTATTTTTCAATATGTTTTATATATTCATCTTAGATTTGATTTCTGTATTATCTTTTCCCACCCAACAGTATACTATTTACTAATACATTAGCCACACTGGAGCAGATTCAGAAATTATTTCAGGATACTTGTCTTTGAGTGTAAGAGAAAAGTAGTATCTGCACAGTCAGAAAATGTGGTACTGCCATTTTAGAGCTGTGATCTCAGTTAAGTCATAAAGTGTGAACGTCTAAAAGATTTTATCTCACAGGGTTGCCACAATGTCTAAATGAAAAACCTTTATATAAAAAGCAAATACCAGTTTCTGACACATATAAGCCATATAAGCTACTCAACAGATTTCCAATGTGTTAAATTACAATTAGAATACTACAAAAGGAATGACTATTCTTTCCTGTATTTATGTGACAATTTCTTCCTAATTCTGAAAACTTTTATGGAACTTTATACCCATATTACATAAATACTTAAGAAGCAGTACTGTAGTTTACATTCAACTAAGTACATATAATGTAAAAAAAGAATCTTCAGTGGCATAAAAATAAAGTCAGCTTTAACAAACGCCCTTTATTAAAATGGAAAAAACTGACCGGGTGTGGTGGCTGACACCTGTAATCCCAGCACTTTGGGAGGCCGAGGCAGGCAGATCATGAGGTCAGGAGTTTGAGACCAGCCTGGCCAGCATGGTGAAACCCTGTCTCTACTAAAACTACACAAAATTAGCCGGGCATGGTGGCGCACGCCTGTAGTCCCAGCTACTTGGGAGGGTGAGGCAGGAGAATTGCTTGAACCTGGCAGGTGGAGGTTGCAGTGAGCCGAGATCGCGCCATTGCACTGCAGCCTGGGTGACAGAGCAAGACTCCATCTCAAAATAAAAAAAAAAGAAAAAGGAAACAATTAAAATATATATATATATAAAATTAATAAAATTAGAATTGTCTTTGTTAATCTAGTATTATATTATTGTCATGTTTGTCATGGTCAGGTAATTCTTATCAGCACCATAAAAATAACAATCACTGTGATGACTGAAATGAATTCTAGCGATTTTAAAATAACAAAAGCTACCACACTTACTTTACCTTATAATAACTTCTCTTGTAATAATTTTTAAATTATCTAAAAACTATTTTTTAATGACATAAGTATTAACACCCCAGGTAGTCAAATGTTACCATCTTAACACATACTTATACACAAGGTATCCCACTGCATTTCAAACTGGCATTAACCATATATGATTTACACATGTAAATGCCACTGGAAAGAGAAGTATAGTCCAATATTCTTTCCCAAGGCAGCCAAAGTTTCTATGTGCTTTTGACCATCACCAAGATGTGAGATAGTTCAACTGTAAGCTCTCTGAGGACAGGAAATATCTTATTACTCTTAAAAAAAGAGTAATAAGCACAATTGGCTGGCGTGGTGACTCACACCCATAATTCCAGAATTTGGGGAGGTTGAGGTGGGAGGATCGCTCAAGCCCATGAGTTCAAGACCAGCCTGGGCAACAAAGCAAAACCCTATCTCCACAAAAATTACAAAAATTAACCAGGCGTACTGGCACATTCCTGTAGTCCCAGCTACTCAGGAGGCTAAGGTGGGAGGATCACTTGAGCCCAGGAGGTCGAGGTTGCAGTGAGCCATGATGGCACCACTGCACTCTAGCCTGGGTCACAGACTGAGACCCTGTCTCAAATATATATACACATACACACACACACATATAGCACAATAACTGGTATTCAGGAAGCAGAAGATTAATGTTTATTAAAGAACATCAAGAAAAAATATTGCACATGGCTAAAAATGATTAAAAAGCTGAGTTCTTAAACACAGCTGAATTTTAGATCTGATTCTGTTATGAGCTATGCAACCTTAGGTAGGTCACTTAACCTAAATCTTTTTCCTCATCTACAACAGACATGTAGTCTCATATTCAAGGTTGTTGAGAAGCTTAAATCATGTAGTATATATGAAGCATTTATGACAACACATGAGAAATAGGAAGACCATCAACTTTTCAAATGTTTTACACATTTTTTTCTTTCTCTGAACTAGATCAATCACCCATCTTTAGTATATGAGTTCTATCTACCATATATAGCAAAGAGAAAGACACTAATTCTCCTTGTTCTTAAGGCTGTTCAAGCAGCTCTTCTCAACCAGAAGATTCTGAATTAATTCACCCTGAAATTTCCTCCATTTTCAAATCAGTTTTACCCAACAGGCATCAAAGAGCTACACAATTTGGCCCTGGACAACCTCGGCTTATCTATTCTAATAAGGAAATCCAACTTTCATCAGTAACAGTCCGTGGATCATTCTTTCCTAATAAGGAAATTCAGCTTTCATCAGTTAGCTGAGGGATCCTTTCTTTCCTATAGGAGGTGCTATATCCTTTCTTTATCAAAAACAGCAATGTGTATTTACATATCAAGATATGGCCCTCAGAGTTCCCTCAGTAATTTCTTTTAAAAATATACACACATACATGCAACCACTTTATTACACCTCTAGAACACCCACAAATCATACAATTTTATGTTTTAACTGAAAGGGACCTTAAAATATCTTGCCTAGCGTAGAAAGAAAATATCAGAATTCAGGAGACTCTCAGGTCTTGTGATAGTCCTGTATTTACAATGTTAGTGAACATAGCACATCACATAACTTCTGAAATATTTAATTTTATCATCTACAAAAAAAGAGATGTATTAAGTAACCTGGAACAAGCTTTACAATTTTAACTGCCTTTACTGCACATGGCACCTCACTAAACTGGCCTAGAAAAGCTGAAGAGTAAGTTTTTTTTTTCCATTTGCACCAGCATTTCTCAAACATTTCTTCTCCTCACCAGATAAGCTTCTGTGGATGAGATAGGATACTGTAGGTTATGTGTAACTTCCATTCCCACTGCTTTTCTCTACCATTCGAAAATAAAGTAATTCCCACCGAGGATGTCTTGTTGAGGATCTCACTGATCTATGCCATGCAGCTACCTCTAACCATATATACATTTTTAGAAAGTATAAGAAAAAAAATGACAAAATATTTTTTGACATCTTTCTACTACCTGCATTTCAATATACCGAAGGTCATTTTTTTTCTTTTGTAAATCTTCCAATAATTTTTGGTCTAAAGTTCCATCTGGCTCATTTTCTTGCAAGAGATACTCAGAATCTCGGTCAATATATGATTTGTTCCTGATTCTAAACATTTTTTTTTCTTGGTTTATCAACTTCTTTTCCTGGATGTCAAGTTTCTTCTCTGAGCATGGTGTGTTCTTAGTGGAAACTTCAGTACCATATCTGTTTCGACAAAATAAGAAAATAAGAAAGGTCAGATGAAGAGCCACTCGAACCCTGGAACAAAACAAAACAAAACAAAACATTGTTGAAATATTTCACAGTCATCCAAATCTAAAGCTTTTCTTAGTACAGTAATTATGAAAATATACTTAGATTCTTATAACAAATTCAAATTTTTCCTTCCTTTAAATAGATATTGCCAGATTAAGTTATTCCTTGTGGTAGTTAAAAAATCCACACAATAGTCATTCCTTCACTGCAGTTAGTTACAGTGTTTCTCTTTTTCTGGTTTTCTTGAACTTGTTTCATGTCACAACATCTTTTTATCTTGCCACCCTTTCTGAGCTAAAAATAGGATGCTACAATACACAGTCCATGAAATACTTGTACTAATTTTTCCTCTAAATGATACAGTTCTTGTAACCTTTCTAAAACAGTAGCAATTTCACTTCTTGCAGATCTCGCAGATAGAATAATTTCATAAATACAAAGAGGACAGGTAGAGAGAAGAATAAATAACAACTTAATACACCTCATATCCAGATACACTATTATTCATACCATTTAGCTTTCCTGTGGAAACATGCTATCTAAATTTTTAAAAGTCATTCTCTAAATCTGTTTAATCTACATAAGAAAAAAAAGTACATCAAGGTTAAACTTCACTTATTGAAGAAAATAAAGATGTTATTTTTTACTCTTTGCCTATTCTTTAAAAAAATACTTCTTGTTGTACCCATGATCTTCAGGAGCAAACCAGGATATCTGTGCTTCCGACTCTTTATCATTCTTCGCTTGAACAGAATTCAGTAGCTGCACAATTTGTTCTTCTCGTCGTTCATCCATGTGTACTACAGCTCTCTAGTTTGTGCCAAGAAAAAAGCATCTTGTCACCATAAGAAAGCATATGCAAAAATTATTTGATACTAAAGAAAATAAAAGCTAAGTAATATACGTTCAACAAATACATATAAAAGAAAGGTATTCACACTTGTCCTCTAGCCCAATCCCCCTTCCTAGACCTAATTAATTAATATTAAAATTTTGGTACATATCCTTCTAGACCTTTTCCAACAAGCATTTAAAAAATTAGCCCTATTATGACTGGCAAAGAAAGCTCATTTATGTCTCTTCCTACAACTCTGGTTCTCTTACTCCCAATCCTCACATACTAATTATTATGAATTTCACCTTATCTTAAAATTTCGAAGTTATTAAAACTCAAATGGTTTAAGAAAAAAGTTGAAAACTGGAAATAGTTTGGTCGCAATGAACATTTGAAAGTTCTTAACACTAAACAGAAGAATATATTGGTAAGTAAGGCTGAGCTCAGAAGGAGTAAATAAAATTGATCAGTGCTCATTAGGTGATCCAATGTGGCAAATGACGCAGTTGCTTCAAAGAATGAGAACACAACAAATTGGACAAAGATAAAGGTCCATGGTGAACCATGAAAATTTTCAGAAACTTTACGCATTTAAGAAATGTCCAAGGTAAAAAAAAAAAAAAAAAAAAAATTGCCAAAACCCAATTCTTTGGAGACTTTTATATTTAGACAAAGTTGAAAAACAGATTCTTCAAAATCTACGGGTCTACAAACGTTAGGTTCTAATGTGCATATAAATCCATAGGCAAAAGGAAACACATGAGGAGTGGTGAAAATTAGAGTGTGTTAGGTTAAAGAACCAAAGGAGGAGGAAGGTAAAAGTATAAACGAAAAGAAAACAGTCAAAAATCGAAAGAAAGAAACCATAGGACTTAATGACTATTTGGTGGAAGTTGGAGACAGACAAAAAGGAAGAATCAAAGACAATTGTTTTCAAATTCGAGGGTGGATCACGAGAGAACAGCAGTAAGATGAATCATTAGGAGGAGGCTGCTCTGTGTTACTGTACATTTTTGTGTACATGTAGTGGTGATGGAGGTCAAAACAGGATGCTAAGTTTGGATTTTAGGCAATTAAGAACAATGATGAAAGTTCCCAACTTGTAATAATGATTAGCCAGATGAATATATGGAAATGGATCTCTGAAAGGTTTTGTTTTTAGAGTTATGATAGAAATTTTGGAGTGTTCTGTAAAGTTGAAATCACACAGACACAGGATTCTTTTAATTTACAAGTAATACCACCTCCAAAGATGAGGACAGACGGTCGACCAAGTCTGGCATTCAGGGGGCCAAGGCAAGAAAATAAGTCAGAGGAATAATCAAGAGAACAAGCAAAAGACTAGGAGCACACAGTGACAAACCACCCCTATGAAGTGAAGAAAGGTGTTAAAAAAAGGAATCAGAAGTATAAAATTGACATAACTAAGGCAGAGAACTGAAAAAATTACCACTGTATCCAACAACTAGGCAGTTGGGAATGTTCTTCAAGGTGTTTTTAGTTTTTGAGGTTTGGTTATTTTTGGGGAGAAAAGAGGGAAGCAGGAGCTAAGGTAAGGAGACTGATGAAAGCAGATGGCAAATGTGTAAAATATTCTAAAATCTAGAGCAACAGATTTCAATTGTTTTTTATTTTTTTCATAGCAATCTGCAGTAAAACTAATGACTCAGTACACACAAATACAACTAGGTAATTTCACAAAATACTCTCCTTACTCTGTACAGTGCAACTCTTATCTTCTCTTCACTGTATTCTATCCCAACTAAACAAACACGAAAATAGCTGGTCATAACAAAGTTTAACATAAAGTTTGAAAACCCAGGGTGGGTGGGGGAGTATATGTCCCAGAAGAACAAGACATAAACATGTTTAAGACAAGAGACAGGGTTTTATGAGACATTCTAATTCTAATTCAGTATTACATGCTTTGTGAAAGCTCAAATAAGTTTACATGAGTAGGAGGATAACCTAATGTGATAAAAATAAGAAGTTAGTAATAAAACAAATCTGAGGAAGCAAAGCCAATGAACTATACGCTACCTCCTTTTTTGAAGTGAAAATAAGTGGCTAATTTCAGTTGTCAGGATATAAAATGTGTCTACTAAAAGTCCTCTTAAGGTTTCTTGATGTATCTGTTTAGTTAGAACATAACCTGTATGTTATGATTCCTGTTATGTTAAGATTCCTACAGTTCTCACTTTTCCATGTTAACTCATTACTCTGTATTTTGTTTAGTAAACAATTTCCTAGATTGACATTTCACAACACATTGCCCACCTCCTGCCCATAACAGCACAAAAGATTATTCTAATTTTATGAGATTTCACGTCCCTTGGGAAAGGTGAATTACTGGATAACGTAACAGTCTACAGAAAATAAACAGATCTACACAATCTTTCAGTCCAAACTATCACAACAAAATTAGTTTTAATTAAAAAGTCAACATTAGTTGGTAGTCTTTAAGATACCTTACACAATGCATATATACCAAGTAAGCATCTGCTAATCAATAAGGAATTAGTTGAATTGTAGTACACCCAATGGTTAAGAGTGGATAGATCTTTCTGCAAGTATACAAACAGGAAAGATGACCAAAGTATTAAATCAAAAAAGTCAGTAGTGTAGTAGGATCTTGTTTTTATTACTATTAATTTAAAAAGAGGCTATTCACTCTCCATATCCTATACTTTTTGCAGTGCCTCTGCCAGATATAACTCTGGCCATGGTATATGCCCCAGGAATGAACAGTTGAATCTATCTTTTACAATGAACATGTATGATTAGACCTTGAAAACATAATTTACACTCTAAATAAAAAGATTCGTATTTTTAATGATGTTCTCCCTACAATGAGTTTCTGGACGCACCAGATAGCAGAGAAAATACCTTAATTCCAAACTTGGATCTTGCCTTATTGTAGGATGCCTCTCTCCCACTCAACAACCTTCTTCTAGTTCTACCACACTTCACTTTATTTCACTCCTTGCCTGGAGAATCTCAGAAACACATTTTGTTTCATGACTATTTTCTTTTGTCATAGAATTTTGATTATTTCCTGCTTTCTTGGATATTCTCAAATATCCTGCTTCTAGTTTTCAGTTCCTGGCAACAGACCCTAAATGATGTCCACCAAATTTATCGTATCAGCTTCCTAATCATGTGCAACTACTTCAAACTATCTCCCCATTCTCTGTAACAGGCCAGCACCACCTTTCTGTTTGCCCTCAGCATGCACACACAGTTTTTCACAAAACAAAAGCCCCAAGAAGAAAAGGTCCTCAGTTGGTTATCACCAAACCTAAACCCACCTGTATCAGAATTTATCCTTTTTTCTTTCCTGTTAAAAAAGAAGTGTGTTTTAAAGGCTAACCCCTCAACCTGAGCTCCGCAGTTCAATTCCTTTCCTGTCCTCAGGGCCACCTCCTTCATTGAAATTTACCTTGCTTTCCTAAATTTCTAACCTCTCCAGTAGACATTAGGCAGTCAATCGATATTCTAGTTTGCCTCTTTTAGTAATGTGGTAGAAAATCAAACCTTGCTTGTTGTAAACCATAAAGATTTGGGGGTCAGTTATTACTGCAGTATAATTTGGCCCACTTTGATTTCCTCTTCACCGTGCGCTTCCCATCAGGGCATGAACATGGTCAAATCTCTTCACCTTAGAAACAACAAAAACAAAAAACCCTCTCTTGAATTCCCTTACCCCTATCAGCTACTGCCCTATTTTTCTTCCACCTCTTCACAGCAAAACTGCTGGAAAATGTTTCACTTCTTAATCTGTTTCACTTGCTACCCTACTGCAATCTGGCTTTTACTTCTACAATGCCACAGAAAGGGCTCCCATTAAGATCATCAACGACCTTGTTGATAAATCCAATAGACATTCTCAGCTCTTACGTCATTTGTGCATGCTTGCCACTATCAATTACTTCCTGTTGTTGATGATACACTCTTCTCTCCTTTAAACACTACTCTTAGATTTCAAAACAACACACATCTTATTTTTCTCTTCTCTAGCTGATCCTTCCTAGATTCTTTTGTAACCTTCTTTTCCTCAGCCTGTCCCTTAAATTTTCATTTTCTGTATTTGACAGCCTGAGTGATCTACAGACCAGCAACACTGGCATCACCTGGGAGCCTGTAACAAAAGTCGAATCTCTGATCCCACCAGTGTTCTACATTTTAACAAGATGTCAGGTGATTCCTATGCACATTCAAGTCTGAGAAGCAATGGTCTACAGAATTCAGGCTGGGCCCATTCCGTTTCTGACTATTCACTCCCACACTCCAACTACTACCCATGAGCCCATTAACTGTCAAATACTTATCTCCAGTCTAGATTTTTCTAGGCATCAGATCTACACAGCCCTCTCCCTCCTGCAAATCCTCATTTGTATGCCCTATAACAATATCAAACTCATAGTCTCCATAGCCGAGCCAATCACCTTTCTCCAACAAGCCTGATCCTTACAGACAGGCATAAAAGAGTCATCATTAACACTGTACTTACCCCTTCAGATAAAATAGATCACAAAATCATTTTGAGACTACCTCCCAAATCACTTTAATCTGTCCACTTCCCTCCATCTCCACTGCCAACATGCTAATTCAAGCTGTCATTTCTCATCTTAGTTACTGCAAGGGCTACTTAACTGGTCTCCCTGAACCAGGATTGCCTCTCTTCAATCCATTCCTTATACTGCTACCAGAGTGAATTTAAACATTTAAAATCCAGTCATTTCATTCTTTTTTTTTTTTTTTTTTTTTTGAGACGGAGTCTGGCTCTGTCACCCAGGCTGGAGTGCAGTGGCGCGATCTCGGCTCACTGCAAGCTCCGCCTCCCGGGTTTCCGCCATTCTCCTGCCTCAGCCTCCCGAGTAGCTGGGACTACAGGCGCCCGCCACCTCGCCCGGCTAGTTTTTTGTATTTTTTAGTAGAGACGGGGTTTCACCGTGTTAGCCAGGATGGTCTCGATCTCCTGACCTCGTGATCCGCCCGTCTCGGCCTCCCAATGTTTTACCAGCTTGCTACAGTCCTTAGAAAGACTCAATGTATCTCAAGGCCGTGCTTATTTTTCTAGCCCAGAGATTTTCAAATTGCTGTTTCTGAAATTATATTAAAGGATCATGAACAGCATTAAAAGAGAACAGAGAAGTTCAAAAACAAAAAAACTTCAAAGCAATGTGCAGGTAATTAAATGTTATTTTACAAAACTTTTCATCTAGTTATACATATGTGTGTACTGGGTTGTAAATTCAAATATATTCCTTTTTGTGCAAAGCGGCCAACAAGTTTGAAACTGACTGCCCTAACTTCATCTCACTACTCTCCACATCCAGGTTCTCATCTTTTAGTTTCTTGAACTGAACATGTGCTTCCTTGATCTCGGTGTTGTCGCACATGCTACTGCCTTTGCCTGGAATCTTTTCCAAACCCCAAACTTCAAACACACACACGTACATTCACTTTGCTATCTTTCAACTTCAGGTTAAGGGTTACCATCCCTAAAAAATCTTCTAAAATACCTTGACCTGAGTTAGGTGATAGCACATATTCTCTAATACCTTAATATTGTATTATATTTATCGCTCCAAACAAACCACAATCTCTGTAGAGCCTATATTAATACAGTGCTTAAGATACCATCACAAAAATAATGTCCTCAATAAATACTTGTTGAAAGAACATTTGTTCAAGAATGCATCATTAGAATGCATTCATTTTCAGCCAGGCAACACGACTCACGCCTGTAATGCCAGCATTTTGGGAGGCCGGGGCTGGTGGATCACCTGAGGTTAGGAGCCCAAGACCAGCCTGGCCAACATAACAAAACCCTGTCTCTTCTAAAAATACAAAAATTAGCCGAGTATGGTGGTGCCCACCTCTAATCCCAGTTACTCAGGAGATAGAGGGTGCAGTGAGCCGAGATCACACCACTGCACTCCAGGCTGGGTGACACACTGAGAGTCCGACTCAAAAAAAAAAAAAACTATTCATTTTGAAAACACATGACATGACTTTAAAAGTAAAAGTTACCGAAATTCTGACTGGGAAGCAATGACATCAGCTAAAGGTGGTCAAAGAAGAACTGGGATGAGCCCATTGAAAAATACTCACATTAAAACAAGACGGAAAGGTACATTTTAGACAGGAGAACAGTATGACACTGTAATAAAAAGTAAAAATAAATTATGTTTACAAAAGCTATAATTATATCAGACTGGGGACATGGGCTCGGAGAAATGTGCAAAGTGGTAAACCTGTTATGTTGAAGCCACATTACCAAGATTTCCAGAAAACATGTCAAGATGCAACTGAAATGTATTAGACTGAGACAGAAGTGACCCGACTTCCAAATTCAAGTTGTGAATTAGGGAATGAAATGATCTAATTTTTCCTTTTAAAAGATCACCATAGGCGGCTCTGCAAAGCACAGACAATGCAGAGCAGGAATGGAAGCTAGATGACTAGTTAGAAGGTAAGAACAGTTAGATTGGGATATATTAAGAAGGCAGAGATTTGCTGAAATGAAGGGGAAGAAGCAAAGATAAATCTCATTTGGCCTTGGCAAGTGAATAAATGGTTAGGTCACCACTAAAAGGAGGATAGGAACGCAAGTAGAAATCAAAAGTTCCATTCATAACATCCACTGCACAACTGGCTATATCCTTCATGTGGAAACAATAATGAACATTTTTTCCTGACTTATTTAACTTTTCATCTGTTTAGGTATTATTTTCCCAGCTAGACTGTAAGCTCCTTGAATACCACATTTCTTCAAGTCCCTGGAGCAACATGCATAAAACCTTGTTTGAAACAGAGCCTTAATAAACAAAAGTTGTAAAGTTACTTAGACGTCCCTATCCTGATTTTCAAAAGCCAGTTTGCCCAACGAAAAAGTTAATTTGGGGCTGTAAAAGAAGTGGGTTTGTTTTTTAAAGAAGTTTAAGTTATGAAGATAAACGGATAAGGCCCCCGGAAACACCTGAATGAACATGACATGGTTAAAGAAATAAAAAGAAATAGAATGGTTTTAAAATAGTAGTCTAGGCCGGGCGCGGTGGCTCATGCCTGTAATCCCAGCACTTTGGGAGGCCGAGGCGGGTGGATCACCTGAGGTCAGGAGTTAGAGACCAACCTGGCCAACATGGTGAAACCCCTCTCTACTAAAAATACAAAAATTAGCCGGAGGGGTGGCGGACGCCTGTAATCCCAGCTACTCGGGAGGCTGACGCAGGAGAATCGCTTGAACTTGGGAGTCGAAGTTGCAGTGAGCTGAGATCGCCACTGCACTCCAGCCGGGGCGACAGAGAGAAATCCTGTCTAAAAAAAAAAAAAAAAAAAAAAAAGTAGCCTAAATGATGATCTAATTACACTCTATAATACATTTTATAAGGTGGTTTTTAAAAGGAAGTCACCAAAGGCATATACTAAGTTCCTGCTTAATGATAAAAATTATTTCTATTAGAATTTTATTTATTAGTCACTCCGACAACTTTGTTTCCTTTACTGCAGATCTTTAAGATACAAATCAACCTGACAATCACCTGAAGAGAGGAGAGTAAGCCAAATCATCTCTGGAGATTCCTTTCATTTTCCTTTTCAAAGAGAATCTGCTAATCAATAGAAATTTCTCCACCCCAACACAAAAAACAAAACAAAACAAAACCTAGGTCTGCGGATAATTTTAACACTAATAATAAAAGATGGACTATTTTCCTGAACGATCCACAGCCAAAGTAGTGTCTGCCTGCTTTTGTTCCGCGCAAACCTATCTCAAATGTAGAAAGATCGCTATTTGCTTCTCCACCAGGCAAAGACCTTAAAGTGACAATTATTATTCTAAGTGAAAGGATAGCCAGAGATACGACAACGACACTCCTAATAAAGTTAATTTCGGTTAGAACGTGAACTTAACATTTGCTTTGTCACAGTTCTCAAGTCCTCTAAGCAAAGTATATATTCAGCCTGCATAAATCCTGCCTGTTTTTCGTCAGATGCGCATGGCTAATGTTAAGCAGTACGCCCGCTACTGGGAGCGCCCACACGATACATTTGCGTCTCGTTTGCATTTCACAAAGCACGTGCATCACTTAAGACACAAAACCAGGAAAAAGGGGGCAGCGGGAGAGAGAAGAAAACCTGTGCTGCCTCATCCCCTCCACTATCGAATCCGAGATTACCTCTTGTCTCTCCGCTTCCTTGTTCTTCTGTCCCTGTTTTTTCGCGTACCACATGCCGATTTCGCGGCCTTTCAGGTGCCCAGGGTGCCGGCCCCTGCCGCCTCGACCACCCCCTCCGCCGCCGCCGCCTCCTCCGGAGCCTCGGTTCCCTCCATGACCCCCTGCCGGCCCCCCTCCATAGCCCCCACCGGAGCTGCGGGGCCCCCCATCACGGCCCCAGTTCTGATGGTAGTCATAACTCATTGTCCTGGCGGACTGCAACCCGTCAGAACCAGCAACCGCTGGAAATGGCGTCCGGTCCCGGAAGGCAGTGTGCGCCCACTTCCGTTTTGCTTCCGTAGCGCAGCGCAAGAGGGCGGGCCATTTAGCATCACAAGCAGCGGTTTCTGGTGACGTCACCGCGTGACGACCCCGGTGATCTGGACGGTGGCGGGGGTCTGGTTTTGTCTGATACCCCTGAGTTGTTTACCTTTGTACCTCTGGAGCAACAGCCAGCCAAAGGCCCGTAGATTTTCTTTCGCTGGGCCCAGCAAGTGAGCCAATGGCTTTTGGTTTTTACTTTCTTACTCCTGGTAAAATCCGCAATTTTCTTGCACTTAGGTCCTAGGGTAGTAAACGTTGATTGAAACGAAAGAACTCGTGTATCAGTTCGCCGTCTTCTAAAACTCTCTAAAAAATGAGTTCTTCTTAAGTCTTGAAAACAGCCTGACAATCTTTCAAACATATAATTTAAAACACCCTTAACCTCCTTGAAAGTATTGTCACTATTTACTACATTTATCCAATAGTGTAAGATGAGCGTGTCTAGCCAAATTCAGTGCAGAGCTCTTAGGCAATGTAAATAAACTACTTTGAAGATTCATATGTTCATTTGAAACCATATACTGTTTATTAACCAGAACACTTGAGTGTTTTGTGCAAGCTGTTCTTGAATAATCAAGTAATTGGGCCACACAGGCTTGGATGTTCACCAGGAGATATATAGCTCATGTTATGGTTAACTGATGTAAAGGTGCTGGGAATACTCACTGAACAAAGCAAGTATGGCATTAACTTTCATTTGCCTACAGTCTTAAGGGAAAGACAAAGGCTATCTTTGTGCAGTGAATTAAGAAAGGGAAATGTATGCCAGGAAGGGGTCTACGATACACCACTGTGACTTAAAAATTATTTTGAGCAAAGACATTTGAGTTTCTGAAATCTACCTGTCTAAACGCAGAACCACGCGGAAAAATTCAAATCAATCTCCTCCCTGGGAGGGAAACCAGGGAAGACTGACTCTTATCACTGGATGCTAGAAGCTGGCAAGACGCTTGAATAGACATTGTCGCAAAGCTATCATATCTGGCATCTGTTTTAAGGTGTCATTTATTTTTTCTAAAAGTCATTTGTTTTTTCCATAAGTGCTGTTTTCCCCTTCCCTTTCCCTTTTAAGATGGTAGATAAGCCGGAATTCTGCCTCCCTGAATCACCTTTTTCTGTGAACTCTATTATGTATGTGGTTAAGTCTGCCTTTTCTCTTGCTAATCTGTTTTGTCACTTTAACTCTGGGACCTGCAAACACTGAATCTAAGAGGATAGACAAAAAGTTTTCCTCCCTAAGAGGCATGAGATATTACAGCAAAAGAATTTAATTTTGGAGTTAGGTGAGTTATGCAACAACTTTTGACATAAGTAGATTTTTGCCAGACTAATGGGCAGAAGAAAAGTATGACAGGTGTAGAGAACAATATGTAAAGACAGATGATGATGTGAAACATCGGAGAGCTTAGACAACTACCCTGAATCTTAAAGACTGATAGGGAAGGCCAAAGAGGTAGATAGGGGTCTGATTATGGACAACCTTATGTGCCACTTCAGGAACAGTGGTATGTTATAAGCAGAGGAGTGGTTATTTTGACTGCTTCAATTAGAAATAAATAGCGGAGACAAGAGTGGATACAGGGAAACTAGTTAATGTGCTATGATGTAGGGGAGGCAAAATGGGATGACAGGGTATTACATATGGAAATAATTGGAATCAGGGGACATTAGAAGATAAAATTAATTTGATGATTCATTGAATGTGGAGAATTAGAAGAGTTAAATGACTCCAAGTTTAAGATTTGAATTATTAACACATGAGGAGACACATATCCTGAGACGAGAAATATAGGACAAGGAACATTTTGGGGGTGGGGGGCAGAGTGAGTTAATGTGTTTTATTTGTACATTTCAACTTTGAGGAACTTATGAAACATACAAACAGAGTATCTGGAAAGCAGTTGGCTATAAGAGTTAAAAGCACAGAGGCCGGGTGTGGTGGCTCATGCCTGTATCCCAATACTTTCGGAGGCCAAAGTGGGCAGATCACTTGAGGCCAGGAGTTTGAGACCAGCCTGGCCAACATGGTGAAGCCTTGTCTCTACCAAAAATACAAAAATTAGCTGTGCATGGTGGTGCATGCCTGCAATCCCAGCTACTCGGGAGGCTGAGGCAGGAGAATCACTTGAACCCAGGAGGTGGAGGTTGCAGTGAGCCGAGATTGTGCCATTGCACTCCAGCCTGGGCAACAGAGCTAGACTCTGTCTCAAAAAAAAAAAAAAAAAAGAAAGAAAGAAAAGAAAAGTTGAAAAGTGAAAAGCACAAAGAGAGTAGACTGAAATTATATGTTTTGAGAGTCCTTGGCACATGTGATTAAGGTCATAGGAATAAATAATTTCTACAAAAGCATGCCAATTGGACACTCCTAATATGAAAAGTATGTCAATTGTCTAAGAGATGAGATTGAGTAGGCATATTGAAGATGATAGGGGCCAAGTGGGAAGAAAATGGTGAGAGTGCTATGGGCTAAATCTTTGTGTTCATGCAAAATTCACCATGAAGCCCTAACTCCCAGTGTGGCTGTAGAAGAGGCCTCTAAAAAAATGTAATTAAATCAAAATGAGGTCGTAAAGGTGAGATCCTGATAAAAGGTTTACTGCCCTTCAAAAAGAGGCATCAGAGAGCTAGTTCCTCCCTCTCAGAGGAAAGGACATGTGAGGACAAAACAGCCATCTATGCTCCAGGAATAGCTCCGTAAACCAAAACTAAAATTCTTCCTATTTTATTTTATTTTATCTTATTTTTTGAGATGGAGCCTCACTCTGTTGCAGTGGCACGATCATGGCTCACTGCAGCCCTGAAATCCCTGGTTCAAGCTATCCTCCCATCTTAGCCCCCTAGAGTAGCTGGGACAATAGACGTGTACTGCCACACCCACCTAATTAAAAACATTGGTAGAGATGAGGTCTTCCTATGTTGCCTGGTCTGGCCTTGAACTCCTGGGCTTAAGCAATCCTCGTGCCTTGGCCTCCCAAAGTGCTGGGATTACAGATGTGAGCCACTACACCTTGCCCCAGAATAAAATTGGAAGCCCTCCCAACCAACTGAATGGATCCATTCTCTCAGCCAAGAGCATTCTAAAGTAAACCTGAAATATTTGTTCAGGCCATGATGGGAATGGGAGGTTGGACATGCCTCGTTATACCTTCCTTCCTTTGGAATCAGGTATGGCTGACCTGTATTAACGTTGAAGTAGAGACCTTAAGATTGACAGAACGGACTCTTTCTAGCAATATGATATCAACATAGCAGTAGGTCCTGAAAGAAAGCATTTTACCCCAAAATATATTTCTTTGACATATTTTGAAACAGCCCTTCAAAGCTGTCTCTCATGGGGAAAATTACATTCTGTAGAGAATCTCCTTCCCTTTCCAGATCTTCTCCATGATCCAGGAGAGGATTAACTAAGAGTCTGGAACCTTTTTAAGTTGAATAAGAAATAGTTACAATCTCTTCTTTCTGAAGTCTGCTACCTTGGAGGCCTTATCAGCATAATAAGAACCTTGGTCTCCACAACTCACAACTGGGTTAACTTATCTTAACCCAGACAGTCCCTTCTGTTGATTCCAGGTCTTTAGATAAACTCTTTCAATCAGTCAGAAAATCTTTGAATTCACCTATGACCTGGAAAACTCCCTCCTCCTTTGAGTTGTCCAACCTTTTCAGATGGAATCAATGTACATCTTACATGTATTGATTGATGTTTCGTGTCTCCCTAAATATATAGAACAAAGCTGTAGCCTGACCACCTTGGACACATGTTCTCAGTATCTCCTGGGACTGTGTCACGGGCCATGGTCATTGGCATCTGGCACAGAATAAATCTCTTCAAATGTTTGAGAGTTTCACTCTTCGTTGACAGCTCTCATTAGGAATTGTATTAGCTGGCACCTTGATCTTGGACTTCTTAGTTTCCAGACTTTAAGAAACACATTTCTGTTGTTTCAGCTGCCCAGGCTGTGGTATTTTGTTATGACAACACAAACAGACTAATACAGAGAGTAAGGTTGGAAGAGAATTAGTGTTTATTTGTCACTTAGCATTTGCTAGGTATTAGACTAGGTGACAGGCATTTGTGGCAGAATAATGGCCCCAAAGATGTCCTTGTGTGTTTTTTTTTTGGGGGGGGGCTCTCACTCTGTTGCCCAGGATGGAGGGCAGTGGCATGACCATGGCTCATTATAGCCTTGACCTCCCAGACTCAAGCAATCCTCTCACCTCAGCCTTCCAAGTAGCTAGGACTGCAGGTGTACACCACCATGCCTGGCTATTTTTTTTTTTTTTTTTTATCTGTAGAGATGAGGTGTTGCTGTTGCCCAGGTTGGTCTTGAACTCCTGGGATCAAGTGATCCTCCCACCTCAACCTCCCAAAGTGCTGAGATTACAGATGTGAGCCACTGTGCCTGGCCGAGATGTTCATGGAAACTCCCTGGAAACTGTGAATATATTACACGGCCAGGGGAAAGTAAGGTTGCTAATCAGCTAATGTGATAATTAATTTCATGTGTCAACTTAATTGGGCTAAGGGATGCTCAGAGAGCCGGTAAAACATTATTTCTAGGTGGGTCTGTGAGGGTGTTTCTGGAAGGGATTAGCGTTTGAATTCATAGACTAAGTAAAGAAGATCACCCTCATCAATGTAAGTGTGCTTGATCCAATCCATTGAGGGCTCAAGTGGAACGAAAAGGTGGAAGGCTAATTCATTCTCTCTTCTTGAGCTACGATATCCATCTCCTGTTCTTGGACATCAGCACTCTGTTCTCAAGCCTTTAGGCTTGGATTAGAACTATACCACCAGCTTTCCCAGGTCTCCAGCTTATAGAAAGCATATTGTGGGACTTCTCAGTCTCCATAATCTTGTGATCCAATCTCATGATATAGCTCAGTTTCTGTGTATCTATAGCTATCCTATTAGTTTTGTTTCTCTGGGAAACCTGATGAATGCAGCTGACTTTAAAGTAGGAAGATATCCTGCATTATCTGGGTGAGCCCTATGTAATCGTAAGGGTCCTTGAAAGTAAAAGAGGGTGGCAGAACAGAAGGTCATAGTGATGTGACATAAGGATTTTACTAACTGTTGCTGGCTTTGAAGATGGAGGAAGGGGTCACAAGCAAAAGAATTCGGGCAGCCTCTAGAAACTAGAAAAGAAAATAGATTCTCCCCCAGGGCTTCCAGAAAGAGTAAAACTATACTGATCCTTTTGTAGTTCATGAGCATGATCATTGGGTATTCATATGCACGTGTGAGATGTGCCACCCTCTAACCTTGTTATGACATCGGCACATTGCTCATCTAACATGAAGAAAAATAAATAAATAAAAAGAAATACAACAATATTGACCCCTTGATTTTAGCCCAATGAAGACTGTTGTCAAAACATTATGCTACAGAACTTTAAGATAGTAAATTTGTGTTAGTTAAGACTCTGTAGTAATTTCTTATGGCTACACTAGAAAAGTAATACAATTCCTTATCTCATTTCACACAATCCTCATGACAGCCCCAGAGAAAGTTAGCATTATCTCTATTTTCTGATACAGTCTTTTATTGCCCTTCACCTCATGTTTGCTGATCCTAAGTCGATTCTTAGTTATAAATATGAAATTACTGTTTTCCATACTTCTTCAGCATGAACTAGCACTTAAGGTATTACTTGAGGCTATTCCTTTAGGTGAACACTTTAGGACAAATGTCACTGTAGTAAAAATCTGCACAAAAGGAAGATTTTCAATGAAAGACCTGAGAGATGTTGATGGGAAGGAAAATGTCAGTTGTTACCTGCTTTTTCTTTTTTCCCTGTCTTCATCAGAACCACGAAATTGTTTACACTACCTAATGCCAGAAAACAAACAGAATGGTTCATTATAATTGCCATTGTTTCTCTGACTGGTCCTCGGTTGTGTGCTGTTCTTTGGGCAGGCAACCAAGATGTCTCTTCCAAATGTCCCCTTCATTAATGATGGCCTGGGCCACAGAACGCACAGCCATTGCTTTCAAACCCACAGCATTTGGTGTCCAGCTCCTGCTCTCCCCATCATACCTGCTGTCCAGCCTGGAATGCAGCAAAGGTGAGCCACACAGAACCACACCACCACTGGAAACTGTCACAGTTTTCTCAGGATCAGGGAATCTTTTATTCATTTTTTTAATCTGAACCCTGTGAAACAACTCTTATATAATTTATTCATAGCTGTAATATTCATAAAGGCATGGGGGTGAAGGAGATTTTCTTCAGTGTTTTTGGAAAATGAAACCTTTAACTTCTACTTCCACTTGGAGGTGGGGATAGGGACATGCTGATAAAAGTGACTGTACCCTTCTATAGAATGTAAAATCTAGCTGTGGACTGGAACACCTACACATAGCCTCTCCATTTGATTTCTCTGTGTGGCCTAGTTTGAGCCTCCTCACAGCATTGCAGCTGGATTCAAGAGCAGGTGTCACCAAGCAAGGTAGAAGTACATAACATTTGACATCTTTATGGACTAGTCTCAAATGTCACATAGCATCACTTCCTCTATGTTTTACTAGTTGAGACAGTTACAGGTGTCCACTTAGGTTTAAGGGTGGCTAGGGCCTTAGCACACCATGGGAGTATAGAGCCAAAGTCACATTAGAAGAGCAGGATGCAGGAATTAGGGATCAGCCTGGGCAACACAGGGAGACCCTGTCTCTACAAAAAATCAAAAATTAGCCAGGCATCGTGTTGCAAAGCTTGTGGTCCCAGCTACTTGGGAGGCTGAGGTGGGAGGATAGCTTAAACCCAGGATATCAAGGCTGCAGTGAGTGCATTCATGCCACTGGACTCCAGCCTGGGCAACAGAGCAAGACTCTGTCTCAGGAAAAAAAAAAAATGGAAGAAGAGAAGAGCATGTGGAATGGAAGGAAAACAATTCTAGAAAAACACTATGCTAGGTGAACCAGATATTTGTATGAACAAATGCCATTTCTGTCTACTAATTCCATCTGTTTCCCACAAAAAAGAAAACAAAAATTGTGACTTTGTAAGGTCATAGGGTTTCAAGATCCACATTAAAAACCTTCTTGAGAGATTTTCATAATGTATTTTCCTTTTAAAACTACACAATCTCATTAAATTGGTGGATTTTCCTCACCTAGTGTAAACATGCAATCTTAGATCTTAGGAAAAAGTATTGTGAAAGAGTACTAAGAAATTTTAATGAATAGAACTTTTTTTAATTTAAAAAGGATAATGAAAATATAAGGCCTTTTAAGGTTCAGTTAGCAAGTAGATAATGTAACTTTACCACGCTAAGTAGTTAACCATGGCTTTGTCTAAACTCCTAATATTTTTTGACCTGACATTAGAAAGTTTTTGGGGCTGGGCATGGTGGCTCACGCCTGTAAATACCAGCCCTTTAGGAGGCTGAGGCAGGCGGATCACTTGAGGTCAGGAGTTCAAGACCAGTCTGGACAACATGGTGAAACCCCATCTCTACCAAAAATTAGCTGGGTGTGGTGGCAGGTGCCTGTAATCCCAGCTACTCAGGAGGCTGAGGCGGGAGAATTGCTTGAACCTGGGAGGCGGAGGTTGCAGCGAGCCGAGATCACACCACTGCACTCTAGCCAGGGTGACAGAATGAGACTCTGTCTCAAAAAAAAAAAAAAAAAGGAAGTTTTTAGAAGTTGTATTTTTACTAAGTGGTAGAGAATACAATTTACCTCTGAGGCATATTTTTTCCCTTATTCTTGAAAAATTACCCAGTGAGACTACATATATGTGAAGGTAGAGCAAAGGTCTTCCTCTATAACAAAGTGTTTCAAAAACAACATGCCTTCGATTATCTAAACTGCTCTATATAACATTGCAACGGATTGTGTTCAAAGTTGTTTTATATTTGGATCTTTGACTGCTCAATTCTGGAAAGTGATTGCCTATTTTTGAGAGGAATATATGTTTCTATGCCTGTGTATGAATGTTTGTGTATATGTATTCTGTATGTATTTGAAATTAAGACTTCAAGGCTGTAGGAAAGACTAGCAGATATGATCTTCTTTGTACTTTAAGCTATAAAAGAGATTGTATAAACAAACCACCTTACATTTGGAGCACTATAGTCTGAACTAGAGTGTTGAAGTCACAGATTCAGGGTTAAGACCGTACAATTCAAAGTTGGGAAAATGTATCGTTGTTCAATTACTGTGTGCAATGCCTCTGCCTCTGCAGCTTATAAAAATGGGCAGGGAGCGCTATTTACATTCTATTATGGTACAGTATGTGATTGTCTAGTTGGTTATAGGGCATGCAACAGAGACAGACTTGCTAGTTCTTCGCCATAGTTTGGGTTCTTCTTCATGTACACAGCTAGATATATTTCCTAGTCTTCTTTGGAATCAGCTGTGGTTCTGTATTGAGTTCTATCCAATAACAGAGGCTGCAATGACTGAGGTGCAGTTCTTCCAAGCCAGTCTCACCAAGCACTCCAGTGCAGAATCCTTCATGTCTTTTTCCCATCTGTCGGCTGATGCAGATGAGCAAAATGATCATAAGAACCATACATTAACATTGTAAAACTACATGAACCTAGACCCCTGAGCCATATCTTAAAGAGGAAAGGAATGATAAGGAACATTCATTTAACTGCTGCTGCTCTCTGCCTTCCAAATCTTGTACAAATGCCTTTCATTGTTAGATGCTAAACCTGAACTTTGCAGAAAAGAGGGTCTTGGAAACAAAGTTTTCTGTCTTCTAGCCTCTGTGATACATAGAGGAGTGGAGAAACATTGAGATATTGCAGAGTATTGACAGAAAATAAATGTGATAATTGTTTTTCCCTCAAGCTATAGGCTTCATAGGCTTTTAAGAAATGTGTGATTTATTTCATGTTACCAAGGAAATCCTCTCCACTTATTGCATCAGAATACAATTCTAATGCCATCTCTACTACTACCACCCTAAACCTAACCAACATCATCTCTAGCCTAGACTATTAGAATAGCCTAAGTGTTCTTTCTGTGGTGGTTTTTGTGTCTGTACAGTCTTTGGCCCTTGCAATAGACAATCACTTTTGAAATCAGATCATGTCACTTTTTTGCTCAGAGCCCTCCGATGGCTTTTCACTTCATTTAAAACAAGACTCGGTGTTCATACCTGGTCTGCAAGGCACTAATAGCCCGTCTCCTCCTGCTATTATCTGTTTGCCTTTATCTCCAACCACTTTCTCCCTTTCTCACTCAGCTGCATTCACATTGACCTCCTTAATGGTTTCAGATTCCAAAAGCCACACTCCTACTTCTGGATACTTGCTGTTCCCTTTGCTGGGACTGTGATTTCCCTAGATAATCACATAGCATGTTTCCTCACTTTATTTGAGGCTCTGATGAAATATTACTTTATCAGTGAAGGCTTTTCTGAGTAAATTATTGAAAACAAACACTCTTCCCATATTTGTCCCTTTATTCTAATTTTACTCTTTGGCCATTGTTACCTCTGGTCCCTATTTTCTGTCAATACACTTAATACCAGCATACATATATATGTACCACACACTTATCACTACCGTATGTATATATGTAAATGTATAGAAAAGAACGTAACCTATCCAAAGAGAGGTTTGGCGTTTGTCCTCAGCTTCTGGGGAGGTAATTTCTAAGCCCTTGGAATGTCATGGCTGAAGAGTATCTTTGTTTGTCTGGGGGCCTTGGACCAGCAGATAGTAACAATGTGTTTTGGAGAGGGGACTTTTGGGCATTCTGTATCAACTTGGCCTCCTGGAGAGCCTGAAAGAGACATCAGTCATGTGAGTAGTCAGCCATGCTTACCCTTGCTCCCACCATGATGCAGCCCCAGTAAGGACTCTGGACACCAAGGTTCAGTTGAGCTTTTCTGCTTGGCAGTATTCTGTGCAAGTTGTCACACATCGACGCCAAAGAAAGTAATGCCATCCATGACTCCATGGGGAGAGTACCATAGAAATTCCACATTTACAACTTTTCCTAGACTTGGCTCTGTGACCTCTTCTCTAGGCTGATTTTATTCTGTGTCCTTTTGCTGTAATAAACCATAACCATGAGTACACAGTTTTCTATGAATTCTGTGAGCCCTTCTAGTGAGTTATTGAAACTAGCAGTGGTTTTGGGAACTCCTTGAATTTGCAATTTGTGTCACGAGTGAGAGCAATCTTGTGTGGACTGTGTTCTCTGACTTTGTGGTTGTCTCAAACTCAGTAAATATAAATACATATATTTGTTTTGTTTGAGTTTTGTTCAAAAGTTATAAAACCAAGTACCTAGAACAATTTTTAGTATGTCGTAGTCATTTATTAAATATTAGAATGAAGAAATGAATTAGGGTAGCTGAAAAGTATAAGAAATTAAGAGAAAATTGATTTATAAAATCCAATGTTACAGACACATGTCAAGAAAAGCTTCCAAAAATGCATAACTAAGACTTTTTATTATATTTTAAGTAATATGGTGGCATTTGCTATCTTCAAAGAGTTGCCTCTGTCAGTCACAACTCTCAGAAGTCTTAGGGATTATGGATTAGGTGTTTATACTATTAGGGAGTCTTGGGGATTACGTATTTGCAGTTTATAGGAGTCACCACCAGATGGTGATATTTTTATTAGGTAACAAGAAGTTTTTGCCTTCAGATACATCAATTTATAGAGAAAAGAGATAACTATACAAAATAGAATATTTATTAATAAGAAGAACAATATAACTATACAAGGGTAAGGTATTTGGCTATATCACAATATATCTATAAAGGTATTTATTTCCTCTACTAGAAACACTTTTATAATCAATCACTCTACAGAGTAAGTAGACTTAAGTGAACTTGTGTAGTTTAATCTTCTCCTCCCTTAACAAGGATTTGGAGCGCCATTCATGCTTAAGCACAGCTCTAGTAGATTTTTCTTGTATACTTAGCTATTGTTGGCTTGGAATTTGAAGTGTTACATGTTAGTAATATGATGCTGATTAGCCTTTCAAACTATGACTTTGGGCTAAATAATCCTGGTGTTGTTTCAATGCAGCAGAATTTTTATGTGCATCCATTATACAGTTAATTCAACAACCAAGTGCAATTAAATGGGAATAT